GAGGTGAAATAACTCACTTACATACTTCCATTATCACATTTTGCAGTGAAAATGCAGCAAGGTTCCAGAAAAAAGCATTTTTGTGTTAAGTATATTTTTGTTGGTCACTTATTACCCGTAAACGTGAGTTTAAGATGTGCAAGCATTTTATTAAAAAAACACACAAATGATTCTGCAATTAGACATGGCATGGTAGGCATTTGCTACAAATGAAACTGTAATCAAGTTATTATATAGGAACATATTTGCATGATCTGTCTTCATTAATTATGTAAAATTATTTCAAGGATGGTTCTGGAATATCATTTTTTATCCATGCTTACTTATGATCATATTAGTAGAGCACATATACATACATGGGCTGCAAGGTGGCTCTGTGGTTAGCACTGTTGTCTCGCAGCAAGAAGATCGCCAGTTCGCGTGAGGACACTGGGATCTTTCTGGGTAGAGTTTGCATGTTCTCCCCGTGCAGCATGGGTTCTCTCCAGGTTCTCCGGCTTCCTCCCACACAGTCCAAAAACATGTTGAGGTTAATTGGTGATTCTAAAAATTGTCCGTAGGTGTAAATGTGAGTGTGCTTCTGTCTCTAAGTGTGGCCCTGCGATAGACTGGTGACCTGTCCAGGGTGTCCCCTGCCTTCGCCCTAAGTCAGCTGGGATACACTCCAGCCCCTAACGACCCTCGTGAGGATTAAGCGGTGTATAGATAATGGGTGGATGGATGGATATACATGCATGCATGCAAATACATTTAATGAATAAAATGACCAGTTATGAATAAACATAGTCCCCTCAACCTGAAGGCCTACGTTTGTGTCATTTGTTCCTTTTTCCTTTTCTTTTTTTTTTTACGTCTTATATATTCAGATATTATGCCACAATACAGATTCAATATCCATATCATTACAGAGTTGATAAAAAACAAATAAACCCAAAATAACAACCAACAGGCGAACACAAACTTTTGAGGGCAGGTGTAGGTCACACAGAGCATCGTCGTTTTCTGTTTCTTCAGTGCTGTGATTCTTGGAATGAGAGGCAGAGCAGCAGAACTAACAGCATGCTAATAGACACAAAAAGACAAAAATACACCACTGTGCTCCACCCCCAACTTGCTGGTACAGGAAGAACAGCTGTCATCTCCATAAAGTGTGCTGGGATGGACATGTGGCGGGGTTGTACAGGTGTCAAAGCTCAGGAATCGTTGCCTTGTTGATGATAAATGAACTCCAGGATTAAACCCGATAGTAATGTACAGTAACTGTGTCCTGCTTTTGCAGCTTGGTTGTCTACAGGAGATTGTACGAGTTTTCATAACTTCTGAGGACCACAATCATCCCATGAAGCCCAGCCGTTAGCACATGTTGCATGTACTGGGTGTTGAAGAATATTCACTGCAATCTAGTTTCCTCCTCAAAAAGCAAAAAAGTTCCAAGAGCAAAGAGCTTGATCGAGTCCAGTTTCCTCCACAGTGTAACTGAATGATTATCCTTTTAGCTGAAGAACATCCGAACTGATCATGTTCTCTGTTGTCTGAGTTTTCCTTTCTAAACTCGTCTTCTTCTGGTTTTTCTGTAGATCGCTGCCTCACTGTTACTTCCCCATTTTAAAACCATCCATTAATATACTATGAAGACAGGCAGATGGACAAATGGACAAACATATGGAACAAATCACCAACTATCCATTTCAGTCTGACCAGTAGACAAATCAACCTACAGGTAATCTCTATCTTTTGTTTCATCACCTGTGCCTGACCTGTGCACACATCCTACAGCTCCTGATACCACTGGTGTTGTCAGTAGCTGTAGGGTGTGTGCACAGGTCAGTGATTGTCATGGACTGTTTTAATCAGAAGTGTTGACAGACAACACCAGGGGTATTGTCTGTCAACACTTCTGATTAAAACAGTCCATCAAGTCTATCCTGCATGAAAAAAAACATACATGTTGTAGCCACAGTGCAACATGTATACATTTTGAAGATAGACACATTAAAACATGACCTATAGAACATCGTTTCAGAGGTATACATGATTGAATTGACTTCCACAATGTTTTGCCGTTAAATTGTCTTTTTTTGGTTGTTGCTAAAAAACAATGTGAATAAGTCTGGCAAAGTAAGCTTTAATTATGAAGCCCTTTAAGTTATGGTCTTGAAGTAATGAATGACACACCCCATCCCTACGGCCTTTAAATCACAGATTCATAAAACGAAAGCCTTGTGGAAACGACATCCTTTTTCTATAAATGACCGACATGCAATGAGTGCTCAGTACAAGAAAAAAACTAAAAGAATGGCAAAATTAAACATGAAACCTGCAAAGGATAAATCTACATGAGGGCTGTGTAATATTATCAAAGCCACTTCACTGAATCATACCATCATGGCTGTTCACATTACATTTACAGGTTGTAGTGCCACCCAGTGGATGGGAGAGTGTAGAGCCACATACTGTAAGCCACAACCTACCGAGGGCAGACTCTCAAGCACACAAGACACTGATTTACTCAGTGGTTTATTATAACTGACACAGACGAGTACCAACAAGAAATATCAGGTGTTAGCGCAGACAGGTGCTCTTTCTTAACAGAAACATGGCAATGTGAACAACTGGGAAAACAAGACACATTAATATTAAATCCCACTGGCAGTCTGGGCAGAAATCCAGTTTGGCAACTGCAGTCTGTTGCACTTCAGTTTCTTGTTCATTAGCTTCAACAAACAAGCAGATGCTGCCCAGAACTTGAACTGAAAAACACTTGCTGTACAGTACAACCCAAAGATTTATGAGTTAAATACTACATCCAGGAACTGATTACTGAGGTAAAACCTAAAGACTCAGGGGGCCCTGGTCTAGAACGCCTAATTATTATTATGGTTAACATTTCTTAAAAAATAACACAAAAGAGATGGAAAATTCTGAAAAAACAAATGGAAAGAGACACAAAACCATGAGACAAGCAAACAACTACAAAGACAATGTAAAAGAACAGAAAGACATACTACCAACTAAAAAACAGATGCATAATGAACACAAAATAACAACAAAGACACTGTTGTGTATAAATATATTATATCATGTGTGAAGTATAGTCCTTAAGGTTTAAAATATAAAAGAAGTTACATATATGCACATAGGCATGAAATGTCTTCTTTTGAAGAAGTTGCTTGGGTCTGTTTCTTTTATGGCTTCACAGGACAAGCAACAGACGGAGGAAAAGAAGTCCATATAAGGATGCAGCAACAGTGATAAAGTTCCCGGTGCAACATTATATACCACGACACGGATTTCCAAAGAAAATAAGAACAGATAATGGGACACATTTTAAGAACAAAAACTTACAACAGGTGGAGAAAATACTGGGACTAAGACATGCATTTGGTACAGTGTATCACCCCCGGTCACTTGACGAGATGAGGGAGACAGCGAACATTATTCAGAAGATGAACCATGCAGTGATTTAGCAGATAGAAAGAGGCAGGAAAAGGAGGAGACAGGAGTAGTCTTGCTTTGTCTGATGCCAGGGAAAGTTTGACCCAGAGCTCTGTAATGCAATATTCAATGTGTAATTAAATTGATTGATTGAGACCGAATTGAATCCGATCTCATCTTTAGAAACGAACACACAGAGAAGACAGTAATTCTCTACAACACACAAAATTAACATAAAGAGGTTAAAACTGCCTGAAAGTGATGCAAAATTAACATAATCAAATGCAAACCCACTGCAAACAGAGCCAAAACAACAGCAAAGAGGCACAAAAGGACCACAAAGAGATACAAAAAACAACCACAAAGACTTAAAACATATCGACTTTGTGTATTAGCATTTTGTGTCTCCTTCAGTTTGGGTCACTTGTTTCTTGTAGGGCAGGTACAAGACCTTCTGCTAGTCTGTGCCCTGAGGCCCGTTGTCTCATATTCTGTCCTTGACTGTATCCTGTAGGACAAAACTCCTTGTCCGGAAGACAAAAAATATCACCAACCAAATATGCAGGAAGTCACACACAGCTTTAAAGACAGCTGGTAGCACTGACATTGTTGCACTGACAGAGAAAGATGTAAAAAAATAAATAAATAAATAAAATTCTTGCAGATTAACGATGGTGTGTCGTAACATGTGTCATCATGCACTGACATGTAATCAAAGCGATGTTCCCCAGATGTTGCCTCTTTGCCAGTTTTATTTAATGTGGTCTGAAAACTAAAATGAGACATTTACAGTTGAATCAACTAGAAATAAACTAAATGCATATATTCACACTAAGTAAACTAGAAAAGATATGTTGGTTTGACTAAATTCCTTTGTGATGTTTTTTTTTTTTACAGTGTACATAACTTGAATGTATGCAGTCCATTTATAATGTGCAATTAATTTTTCATGTGCAACATTGAATCTGTAATGCCTTCAAAGCCCTTTCCATGCTGTTATGGAAACTGTCAGATAAATTCAGGCTTTTCCACACAGCTGCAGTAGTAACATGACTTTCCATAAAGGCCTTCATGGAAAGTCATTTATGCCTTCCCTTAAAGGTATTAAGAGAAAATTCAAGGAAAGACTTCACTATTATGATGTTGCTCAGGCAGATTAGCTTGTTATGTATTCAGTGCATAAGACTGTACTTTGCAAAACGGTGAAATTAACAATTTTAACCTCCCACTCAGTCTGACATTGATCTTTAACCAGAAGGCTTGATAGGGACTGATAAATACGTCACACCTCCCTTTCTAGAAGGAACATGATTTATCCACCGTGATCTCATATTTAGCGGTGTCATTTCACTGAAATGTACTTTTCATAAGGGTTTATTCTAATGTAAGGTGTCCTTTCGTGGTTGAGCGTGAAGAAACTGTAGCTTGGTGTTTATTTCCACCTGATATTTCTCAGGAAAGAGGTTAAATCTGAGCACCGATGGTCATTTGATCCGAGCCCACCCCCGCGTCTGCCGGTAAATGGTATGACCGGCAATATAAAGACCGGGTACACTCTGTAACTTCAACAGACAGCCGTCGGAACTGAGACAACGTTGAAACGAGATATCGCTGAAGTAGCGGAGTCACTGCCAAACATTGCAACCATGGAGTGGACCCCGATGGAAATCAACCCCGAGGTGGGGGAAGTAACGACTTCATCTATGCTGCGACGCTCTAACAGGCAGCTAACTCCCCTCTTATCTCTGTTTGTGTCTTTTCAGATGCTGAACAAGGTGGGTATGAAACGCTAGCCGCCGAGTAATAATGGCGACATGTTGGTACCCGTTTGATTCAAGTATCAGGTAAGTTTAGTTTGGAGGGCAGTTAAAGTGAGACCAGCGCTGTCATAACACCAGGCTGCTACGCACCACCGTGTTAATGCAGTTATTATCACCTGTACTGATAAAAAGAGTGCCTCATAACATTAAAAAGGAGAAGCTAGGGGAAGCTGGAGAAGCCCTCATGTCATTTTAATGAGCGGCAGCATCCTTCCCGGAGCAGCCCCCAGTGTCTGGGCTAAAGGGTGTGGTCTGAGTGAACCAGCACAACGCAGCATCTGGGAACGGCCTCACCAGGCAGCAGTCACAGATTGTTTGGTATCCTTTTAATCTGAGCGTGTTTGGTTTATTTCTTCGCTTTCAGATGATGAACAAGCTAGGCGTGGGTGAGAGCTGGCGCTTCGTTGACGTGCTGGGGCTGGAGGGCGATCAGCTCTCCGCCGTCCCGAAACCATGCTGTGCCTTGATGCTGCTCTTCCCCCTGACGCAACAGGTAATAATCATAATAATAGGGTGATGGTGGTGGTGGTGGTCGTGTGGACTACTTCCTGGAAGAGTTGCACCAGAGGGTGGGGTGAGCCAGTGGTACAGGCTGTCTGGGGTGGGGTGACACTGAGATGCAGAGCTGTAATGTTACTTGAATGGCCAGGCTAGTGTTGAGACAGGGATGGTAGTGAGGTAATGATTCAGCAAATGTTTACCCTTCTTCTTCTTCTTTTTTTTTTTCCCATTAAGACGTTAAACCGCAGGCTTTGTGAACCACACCTTATCCCCAGGGTGAACATGAAAAATATGATTAAAACATACCATACAAAATATATCTATCTTTTCCTTCAGTTTTTTTTTTTTTTTAGTTCCTTCAGTTTGTCTACAAAATCAGAAAACTGAAAAATGCGCTTCACAGTTTTGCAGATTTCATAATGGCTAGCTATTCTTTACACTGCAGAAGATGTTGAGTTTAACTTTATAAATGACATGAGTAAATGTAGTTTTTATGTTGATTGTTTTGTAAAAGTGTTCCTAATTCATGCGCAGATGTCTCCTTTTTTTTTTTTTTTAAAGAATTGGCTGCACGTTGTGTTCTAATGGGCAGATGACAATGCCCATCTTCTGTGTGTCTGTTATGTTTGTGCGTGGCAGCATGAATCTTTCAGAGCGCAGCAGGCAGACAAGGTTACAGGAGGCTCTGAGGTTTATTTCCTGAAGCAGACAGCAGTCAATTCTTGTGGCACCATCGCCCTGCTGCATGCTGTGGCCAACAATAAAGGCAAACTGACTTTTGGTGAGTGCATCTGGAATAAGCACAATTGTGAATACAATAACTACTGTTGATATTACTGTAACTTCATTACGTACAACTGTATTTATATTACAGTTACTGTTATTTATCACTTTTATTTAGTGTCAGTGACTCAGCAGTTAGAGAAATGAATCAGACTTCCATAATTCAAATTATAGCTGATTACTTTCAGTGAATAATTGTAGTTAGTTTTCAGTGTTCGAATAATCCTCAAACCTGAACTAATCATTAAAGCTAAAAATGCATGCTGTTTCTAGATGTACAGTACAGCATCTGCTCTTGTGGCCGGGGCATTATTTAGTTTTGTCACTGAAATAAGATATGTTATTAAGTTAATGGGTATGAAACTAAATCTAAACCAAGGTGCAAGAAGTGACGCACAAATCACCTTAATACATTGTAGATTGAGCAGCACATAGTTTTAATAGTCCTTTTAAGTCACAGATATGGGGGTTAAATCTTTAAGTTCATGTGTTTAGGTTTTTGTTGAATGAAGTGAATTTTAAAAACAGACGATGTTACCCTTTTACTCCTACTTTAGGTACTCAATCTGAATTAATGATAGTTATGTGGTGTGGCAAGTTGTGGTTAGAAATGACCCAATACTGACACGTTTGTTGCTGATTAAGCTCATTCTTGTGGTTCCAGAAAGTGGCTCTGCCCTTAAGAAATTTCTAGATGAAACAGCAAACATGTCTCCTGATGACCGTGCCAAACATCTGGAGAAGAACAAGGTAAGATACACTTAAACAAATACATTTCAGCCTTTGGTATCTATTTGGTATTGTTTATAGTATTATGGAGATTTCTTAACCCGTTACGCTAAACAGTCACAGTTTTGTGTCCTTTATGCATGTTTATAAATATGACAGCTTTTCAGTAAAACTATAAGATATATAAACAAAATATGAAAAAACACAGGCATGACTGAGAACATTGTACATATTTTATGTCTTCATATCTGAGAGGGTGCATGTAAAAGGAATCAAATGAACCACAGGGAAATCTTTAATTTCCAGAATCTCTGTTCGCGCTTCTTAACCTGAATGTTTTGCTGTGGCCACTTGGGGGCGCCACACATTGATAAATCCTTGATATGGCAGTTTGCCTGTAAACACTATTACTGTGCTTTGGTTTGCCCTGTCACATTGCATATGAGCATCTATATTTTAAAAAGCAGTATAATCTTTTTAAGCACTGACATGATGTGTGTGTTTTTTTGTTTGTCTTTTTTGTTTTGTTTTTAAATCTTCCAGGCAATCTGTGAGGCTCACAATGAGGTTGCAGTGCAGGGACAGTGTCGGGTAAGCCACAGTATCAAGCACATACTGGTGGTTAACATTTCATACCACTTTCAGGCTACAAACATGCATTTGTGGGTTTACTCGATGCTTCTCAACCTGTGTTACCCATTCATATGTGACAACTGACACCCTGCTTATCACTGTTGCATCCAGTCTACAGTGTAGTCCATACACCTAAATAACCCTTAGAATTACACTGATTGCTTTTTTGTTTCACAATATTTGCCCTTTTAATTAATTCTTTATATCTCAACTTTCACAGCCAGAAGCCGACAAAGTCAACTTTCACTTTATTGCCTTTGTCAATGTAAATGGACAACTTTATGAATTTGGTAAGCATGTGTCTTCATGTACATTCCTTTATGTATTTTCACATTGTGCATTTCTAACCATCCTCTTTGCTTCAAGATGGGAGAATGAATGGAGCAGTGAGCCATGGAGCCATCAAGGAAGAGTCTTTTGTAACGGTATGTTAAACTGTGTAAATCTATTAGCAGTTTGTAGACGCTTGAACATTTGCTGTGAGCCAAGTTCTTCAGTGCTTATCGTCTCTGATGAGTCATGGTGGTAAACTGGAATAGGGAGTGGGTTCACGGAGTGTCTTGATTTAATAAATAAATTTTGCTAAATCACACCCTCAAATATCTGCAGTAGGGGCCATAAAAAGGTTTTTTTTAAAAAAAAGAATGCAAGTATTGTTAATTACAAGCTAAATATCAATGTCAACAAGAATTGTTGATGTAAGAACAGATGACATTTAGGTAAGGCAATTTGCTGCCAGTTATGTTGCAAAAACTGTCACTACTCAAGTAATGACAGTACGACTACTCAAGTAATGACAGTTTAAGCAGAAATGTCTGTTTGTTTCATGAAAAACTTGCTCTTGCTTCCAATTTGCTTAAGTCATTGTGGGTTATGTCCTACTGAACTCTGAGCCTTTTAACTTGTGACATCAAACTACCACAAGAGGGCTCTACATGCATTTGTGATAAAATTGCAATATTAAATGTGGTGATGTCGTGGGTTTCATTTTAAAGAACTGCTTATATTTTTTAAAATACAGAGGTGCACTCTAGATTAACGTCTAAAGTGAAAGATCTGCATTCATCATGTGATGTAACACGATGAACCACTGAAACCATTAAATTAGTTTCTGGTCATTTTGATCAAATACTGCCATAACAAAATATAAAATGCAGTTTTGGTAACTGCTTTTGGTGCTACTGTACATGGACAAAAACGCTGGCAAGATTTACGTTCGTTTTACCTGGCTGGAATGGTTTATATAGATAAGAAAATGACTTTAAAGAAAACAGCTGCCTTAAAAAAATTAGGAACAGTTTTTTGTGTGTTTGTTTTTTTACCTTTGCTATGACAACCAAATTTAATGGCATCAAGCTTTGTAGTATTATGTTATAGCATGTTATAATCTTAGTAATCTAGGTTGTATAGAAAAGATGGATGTAGGTTCTGGGTCTGAAAAGTGAAGCTAAAGGTAACTTAAACCTGCAGTCTGTTGGCTAGCGGGGTAAATCCATTGGCTCCAAAAGAAAGAGTGATTGTATAGAAGTCTATGGGAAGTTGACTGTACTTTTCACTTAAGTTATTAGCATAGTAAACATTTTCCTAATGAGTTTATGCTCTCAATCAAACATTGTCAGTTTCCCTAAATGCAGCATGACGTTAATTTTGCAAATGATACACTCATTTAGAGTAAAACAGATGATGAAGCAGGCTATGCTGTAGGGCATGATTACCTTGTGACTGATAAGTTGCTGTGTCACGGATGTACATATTATCCCTGAGTTCTCTATTAGATCCATCCGTTCGTTCCTCTCCAGCTCCAGCCTCTTATCCAAATCTGTCACAAAGAAAAAATGATGGCCAAATTACAATAGTGAGGCTTCAAAACTGGTAGTCCACAAATCCACGGGAGACATCACCTTGATTACGTCCACTTCTTTACTGGTTGAAAAATGTTTAGTTAAATATTGTGGAGAAAATTCTAATCACAAAATGAAACTTTGGTGTGCATGAAAATTCGGTAAGAGAGTTAACTTATCTTTTTTTTTTTTCTTTTCTTTTAATCATGTCTAGGATGCGGCCAAAGTGTGTCGTGGATTTATGGAAAGAGAGCAAGGCGAAGTTCGTTTCTCTGCTGTGGCTCTTTGTCGCAGTTAGATATTCAGCAGGACACCAAATCAAGCAAATTGTAAACCAAAATGTCTTGGAGCATCCATAAGGCAAACACAATCAACAGGCACCCAGAGCGGCCTGTGTGCACATACATCTGCAGACACTATGCACTATAAAGCACATATTGTTTCCACATATTGCTCTCATCTCATGAACAAAGCATTCTTTAGCTTTAGCAAATGCACACACAAACACAATCCGATTCTTTTGTTCTGCCGACACTAACTGATACAAGCTTGTCCAAACTCTATGTGATTATTGTTTAGCCGTGGAAATTGTATAACATAAGGTCAGGTCTCACCACTGCTTGGGTGCATACGTGTATCTGTCTTGTTGCAACTTCTTTTTCTTTCTGTGTGTACTCACTGGTGCATCTGTGTCAAACTCAGAAGTCTGATGCGTAAATACCTTTTGTGCCAATAAGAGTGAGACGGAAAAGGCGAACACTTGTTTGAGGAAACTTTTTTTCCCCTCCTGTTCCTCTGAATGCCTTTGGTCGCTGTGTGGTTGAGTTTATAAGGATCTGACATTCCTCAGAATAGCCCAAATGTATCCGTAGGAATAATTTAACCATTGTTCAGAGCATGCTCGCAACCTTTAGAGTGGCGTTCTTGGGTGACATTCTGACATTTTTCTCAAAAACTGAGGTTTTCTTTGAGAAGTTAGAAAATCTGAGTCTCCCTTTGTTTAGTTCACTGCTGTTTTAACAAATGCACTTTATTTGAATTGAGTTTACAATCCACAAATGGTCAAATACACGTTAAGTGTGCTAGTTTAACACAGATATAACATCCAGTGAGGAAGGAGACCATCCAAATAAAGTGCTACTGTATGTGGGGTTGTTGTCGTGTAGTGCAGGGTTATTAGTATGTCTAGGCTGTGTTCAAACTGTTTACCTTTCTGCACTTTCTAAATCCTATGTTGCTGTAGTTCTACTGGTAATGCAGCTGTGGGAATTCAATAAAGCAACCATTAAACTTAAATGTGTAAAGTGTGTTTGTATTCAAAAAAATGGGAGACTAAATGGGGCTCATGCTTTTTAATCTGCAGCAGGTATCTTCAGAATGAGATGTCAAAGGTCCCACTGTCGGTATGTGGTTTTTCTTTTCTTTTTTTTTTTTTGCACACACAAAAAAAGTCCTAGCATGCCATCCTAGTCATTGAATTGCCTGTAAACCCTTTATAGGGCTGCAGTGATTAGTTGATCAGCAGAAAATTAATCAGATTTGTTAGTTAGCTACCAAAACATTTAGGTCCTTCACTGTTGTTTGGACAAAATAAACAAAATGACTGAATGAATAAATTAGTGTCTGTAAGCATCAGCTGCAGCTCTAAATCTTTCTAACTCCTCGTACTGTCAACACCTCCAGTCACCAGTCTGCATTTGAGCCAACACCCAAGTCAGACTCTCTATCACATGAGGTGATGAAGTGGTTAAGGTCCTAAGGCTTTCTCACAGCTTGGGGCTCGTCCTGACCGGGCAAGGCTGATGCAGGATGAGAATAGAAGAGCTGTCGATAGCCCGTGTCATCACTGTTGGTACTGACACAAGACCCTCCTCTGTATTGCCCCTCCAAAAAAAAAGAAAAGCAGACAACATGCAAAATACTGTAAGCTGACCAGAATAAAAGGACTCGTGTTTCAATAATAAAGCCCTAATAGAGAGGGACAACATATTCTGTGAAGCTAACAGGGGCTTCCACAGATCCTTTCAGAGGGATGAATACTAAAGTCCGTATCCACACAGACAGAAAGGCAGATATCTGTCTGGTGGAACAGGGGTCTGGGTAGAAGAATGCAACTTGTATTATGTTGTTGTGTCTTTTGTTGGTGAGTGCCATTATGTTTTAGATGTTTAGGTGAAACAACATGCACAGAAGGTAAAGGTTTAACCTCCCATCTGAAAAAGTCACACTATTCATTCTCCATTGTGTGAAATTTAGCAAAGTTTGAAAATACTAGTTATGTCGATTACTGATTTGTGCTGACTTTTTAAAGAATTGCAACTTGAAAGCTGGGCTGTAGCTACTCCTAACACTGGGGTTCTTCTGGGACCTCCTGGGGGAGTAGATTAGACTTATTAGACTGTGTTTAAATGTAATTACTTTAAGACAGTAAAGACAAGCAGGAGCCTGCTGGAGGGCACAGGGCAAAATTTTAACTGAAGTTCCCTTTTTCTGTGTGTAACCATTAAGTCAGGTAAGTTTTCTCAAGGTTTGCAATATCTCTGTTTTCATTTGGCTCAGCTCTATGTAGGAGACTGGACAACTAAAGTACAATAAAACAGAAATACTGGTATTCAGGATGGATTTTTACAGTTTCAAATTAACAAGCATGTGGTGCTGCTTTGCCTGCGAGGTAATCCCGTCCTTTACGTTTTAAAAAAGGCATTCAGACATTCAGATAAGATTTACCAACCCCTCACCTAATGTGTCCCCAGTCGTCAAACCAAAGCTAAACACAATGAACTGTGAAACACTGGGACACCTTTTACAGTCTGTCTTATTGCTCTCCTGTCTCTCCCCTGTCTCACGCTCTCTGTCTAATCTGTCTCTCCCGTCTAACTCTCCATCTCATCAGCCTCTTCCCTGTCTCTCTCTTTCCTGACTGTCTCCTGTATCTTTCCCTGTCTCCCTCTCTCTGTCTAATCTGTCTCTCTCCTGTTTTGTTCCTGTCTCTCTTTCCCCTGTCCCCATCGGTCTTTTGTGTCTCCTGTCTCTCTCCTGTCTTTTTCTGTCTCCTATCTCGCTCTTCTGTCCCTGTCTCTTGTCTCGTCCTTATCACTTTCCCTTTCTTTCTGTATCTCCTGTCTTGCTGTCCCAGTCCTTCCTGTCCCTATCATGTCGCTCTCTGTCTCCCCAGTCTCTGTCTCTTGTCTCCTCCCTAGCTCTCTCCCTTTCTTTCTGTCTCCTGTCTTTCTCTCCCAGTCAGAGCTAGCTGCCTGTCTGTCCAACCGGAATAATGTCGTCCCCTCCAGCTGTATGTCCGTCTGGGATGCTGTCATGGAGCCATATGTTTCTGTTAAAGCAAACACACAGCAGTCTTTCCACTCTCTGTGGGTTTCTCTCAACAAACGTAGCTCGTCCAGCTTGTTGTCGAGGGAGCAGACATTGGAGAGTAGGAGGACTGTCCTATTGGTCTGGAGGGGTTAGCCTTTAGCCTAGCATGGATCCCGGCGTTCTTCCTCCTCCGTTGTTTACGTTCGTACCGCATGCGCTTCCTTCTCTCTCAGGTAGCTGCCGGCGTAGTCTCCGATCGGACTCCGTGTTGGTGTAGTTTGTCCAAATTACAACCGATCGCCGCAATTTTAGCAACGTTCATTGCCCTGATGTTCGGCAAAGTTGTAAGTTTTGCAGAATGAATGTCTGGGATAGGCAAGGCACTCAAAACTTAAACTCTCGCTGTCTCCTGAAGGGACCGCTGCGTCTAGGTGCGCCGCCATCTCATCTAACCCATCTAACAAACGGCTAAAATCAAATTTAACAAAACAAACGGGAATTTACTTGTATTTTAATGACAAGTTTGCATTTCCTTTCGCGCAATGCATGATGGTCCATATTGCTTGGTTAGCGACCATCGGCTGTACACTACTTACCACGGTGCATTGTGGCATATTTTGAGTGCATTATATAGGGTTTAACATTTGTGACTTAACATTCGGACAGCCCTACAAAATACATAGGGTGTAAGGGGTGATACATAGGGTGTAAGGGGTGATTTCGGACACAGCCTCTGTCTTATGTCTCCTCTCTATCACTCTCCCTGTCTCTCTCTCTCCCAGTCCTTCCTGTCCCTATCCTGTCTCTCGCTCTGTCTCCTGTCTCATTCCTGTCTTTCTCTCCTGCCCCCACCCAGTCTCTCTCATGTCTTTCCCTGTCTTTCTGTCTCTTCCGTCTCTGTCTCCTCTCTATCACTCTCCCCGTCTCTCTCTCCCTCCCGGTCCTTCTTGTCCCTATCCCCTCTCTCTCTCTCTCCCTCTTGTCTCTCTCGACCTCCCCCGCAGAGATTCCAGCCTGCGCGTTCCCGCCTCCTGAATCGCGCGGCCGCGGCGGTGGCTGAGGACAGCAGCAGCAGCAGCGGCAGCAGCCTCGCGCACTTCGGCGAACAAGAACTCGTTATTTTTAGCGCGCGGTTCGTGTTGCAGCGTCGCGAGGAGCCGTTCATCTCTGCGCCACACAGGCTCGCGCTGAGCACGAGAGGGCTACGCACCGCACTGACTGCGCGTGGAGTTTGCGGGTCCGGTAGGAGGAAGATAACGGAGCGAGAGCGGGGAGGGGAGCACCGACACCAGGCGCCCGGAGGGAGCTCTATCACATATCAACGTATCATCACTTCGCTCTCGGTGGAACGGCCTGCCCGGTGATGGCGAGCCCCGCAGCATGTCGAGAGTCCCCGAACGGCCCGCCGCGGGAGCAGGAGCCGCCGGAGCCGAACCATCCCGAACCAGCCTGCCTGGAGGCGCAGAAATGGATAGAGGTAAGTGAGGGGGGGGGGGGTCCTCAGAACCGCTCCGGGGCCTGCTGCACACACCGGGGACAGAACCGGGTCATGCCGTCATATTCAGTGACCGGGGATATAAATACACAGCACCGGTGCACCGTCACCTGTTGGGGGGGACTATGCAGTGTCGGGTTACTGTGTGAGCTCGCATGCGTGAACAGCCGTGCGTGTCAAAAGTTTTCACGTTCGCCTGGCTCCCGATGAAAGTGGACACCCACGCTGAACACTGTGGGGACTTTTCACGCAGTAAACATGTAGTAGAGCCTCAAAGTGTCGGTGTTTTCTATTAACCGGGAGCAGGAACGCCCCCTTTTTTCAGGCGCGAGGGGATTCCGGTTGCCATGGTTATAAAACCAGGGCAGTATTCACGCACGAGATGCTTCACTGTACCGACAGTCGATGGCATCGGATGAGATTATCATTGGTGGGTTTTGCTGCATCGCTCCCACCATCATCTGCTCGGCTCAGAACGCCTCCCTCCATAAGCCTGAGCGGTGAATCATGATTTGCCCGTGGAGCTGCGTTATGACCTGTTTTCTCTTTCATCAGGGCTCTGTCCCAGCTTCAGCTTAGCTACCTGCCAACTAGAAGCTCACACAAGAGGATATAAAGGCTTGGTGGGGACAACAAAATGATTTTTTATGTAGAAGTTTTGGCTTTGGCCTCACACCGTGGCCGTGTTTTCACAAGACTCCCACAGACTGTGCTGGCTGCAGGGGGTGCTTCCAGAAATTGTTCACAAGGGTGGAAAAGATGGGGCCACTGATCATCTTGGAGTGGTGCACAAAAACCAAAAGACATAACTTACTTTAAAGAATTCTATGATGCTTTTGTAGCATTGAGAGTAGTTGAAATATCTGTCAGTATGAGAGTTAAGAAGTCACATACTGATAAAGCCTGGTTTCCTGTTTTACAGTAAAGGTTTCTAATTGATGTGTGTAGACTAACACAGATACAGTGAACATGTAGTTTACTACAATATCCACAGTTCAAAACAGCCCAAGAAAGGCGATGCAGGTGTGTACATGGGGAAAAAGTTCAGCCAAAGGTGGACCAACCATAGTTTATGATTTCAATACTAAAAATTCTAACCATAAGTGATAATAGTTTATCTAACTACAACCATCCATCCATTATCTATACACCAGTGTATGTTGTAGAAGGTTATGGGGAGCTGGAGTCTATACCATCTGATTGAGAGCCAAAGGCAGGGTACATCCTGGACAGGTCACCAGTGTGTCACAGGGCCAGAAGTACAGCCAGTCATAGTATAATAATTTGTATTTACATTGTTACTCAGCTGCCATATTTTGACTTTATCTAGTGGATCGGACTCTTACAATGAAATAATATCCAGCTGTGATGGAACTCTGCATTCAGCTATGTAACAAATGATGTAAACTATAGCTGATAAACTGGTTCTTATATAATTTCTAATTACATTTCATTATTGAATTTACTGCTACTTTGTGTGTTTGCGTACACCTGACCTCTTAGATAGGTGGTAGCCATAAGTGTGGGCAATGAGTCTCTTCTGTCTGGCTGTCCCATACACAAGCCAGTTTACCTCAAGCTCTGTCAGACAGAGAAGAAGATGGAAATTATGGTTTATTTACTTAATCTGATGATAAATACAAGACTGCAGCCACCCAGTCCAGGCACTCAGGTAGTACTGCCAGTAAAGAAAGTTTGCTTGTACTGAGGTCCTTGTTAGAAAAAGACTAAGATGACAAACAGGCTAGCCTCTTGAGCCCTGGGCTATTTTTTGAAACTTCAACTTGAAAAAACATTTGCAAATTCAGTCAGTAAGATCCTCACAACTGTAAGGCCAAAATGAACAACCATGGGCTTTATGGATAGGAGACACTTGGGAGAATTTTGAAATGCAGTCCTTGTCCCCATCATCAAACTAGAGGAAGCGGCACTCTTACCTCCTCCTAATGAAAACTCTGAATTAGACAATAGCTTACAGCCTTACAAAAATGCGTCACTAAACTCTGATGTTGTTGAACCTGTTACTAAGATCATCAACTGCAACTCTACTAGATTTGTTGCAAAAGAAATGAAGTGCAGCAATGCTACACTCATGTCATACTAGGCAGCCTTTACATCGGATGTGCTATGCTCGGCAACCTTCTAAAAATGGTGTTGGGTTGTGTTTTAATGACCCACCACATAGACCTCCAGGAAGCAGAGTTGAAACATACAAACAAAGACAGCAAACAAAACATTTAACAATACTGACCAAGAAGAAGTTGGATTTCTGCAATGTTTTAACTAAAGCCAATGGGGCTTCAATCAGTGTATACAGATAAGACTGAAATCCAAACTGAGATTAGACATGCATCGCAACAGTTTTTCAAATGGTCTGTTTAACATAGTGGTTCCTAATCTGGGGGTCAGGACCCCCACAGGGGTCGAAGTCAGAAGTAAATCAGATAAGTCAGAAGGGTCTCATAATGATTAATGGGAGAGGAAAGTAAAAGACAAGTTGTTTAGAACATGGGTAATTTTCCTTCTTCAAGTCTGTAAAAGTTCATTCAGATCACTTTCTTTTTAAACTGGTCCCAGCAGATGTAGGCAGCGACTGATGAGGGGTCACGAGTACTGATTGCTTCACATTAAAGAGTCACAAGCCAAAAAAGTTGGTATCCACCCATTTAACCTAAATTGAGAAAATTTCATGACACATTCCTTCCTAAGACCTGGTAAATGGTAAAATAAATAGGTAATATGATACTTGGCTTCTATGAAATAATACCTTTTGTATGATCTGAGTGCTACAAACCACTTTTAGAACATGTGGAAAAGCTCAGTGCATCAGTTAAGTTATTTACACAAGCAAATATCCACACAAGTAATCGCTTTGGAGGAAATTCTAATTTAGATGTGCATCTTATCTAATCATAGAATGAGTCACTTAGCATGCTTAATCCCCAAATGTTTTGTGGCAAACTTGCATCACCATTGTGGTCATGTTATCTGTGGTCGTGTTTGCTTTATTAATATGCAGTTCATCTGGTATGAGTTACAATATCATTAAAAACGCCACATGAATACAATTGCATAAATCTTTAATAATGAATAGTTTGGCATGATGCAATATTTCCTCCCAACTAATAACGAACGCAGTAAATACAAGATATTAAGATAAGATTCCCAACTACAGTGTAAATGCAATACGTCCCATCAGTAGAGAGCACAGTGTAGTTTATGTTTAAGCTGCCCTCTAAGTCCTAATCTCTTCTGCTGCGTCTTTGCTCGGTGTTCTTCTCACTTTGTCGTCTTTCTGCCCCCTAATTCTCCAGTTATTTTCAGGCTGGTCAAGCTGACTCTATTTCTAGTGGTGTATTTCTGTGCCCTCACAGGTGGGGATGATTCAGGGTTAACCATGCCGCCCTGCGCTCCATGAAGCATTTTCAATCTGCGTGTTTGTATTTGCCATGTCTGTCAAGTATTCAAAGTGTATGCACGCTCACAGACGGCAATCAGCTATGCATGATACGGCTCGCAGCCTCGCACACTCCTCGGTCACGCCCCGGTTGGGTGACACTGGTCACTATGGGAACATAACACGGTCAGGCTCTCAGGTGTCACTGTTTCCAGGGGTGCAGTAGAGCAGTAGGCTATATATCACCCAATGACCCGAGCAGGAAATTAGGCTGGCACAGACAAAACCTTTCTGTCTGTTTATAGACGAGACAAGGGTGGATTAGACTGTCTCAAAACTGGTACACACGGTCAGAGGTGGTTCAAAACTGTTGGATGTGACATTAAGCAGGTTAAAGTTATACAGGCTTAGGGAAGCTAAGCTAACTTTAGTGACAGCAGTTAACCTCTGCTGTCACTGACATACAGCACATCGTAAGAGTTGGGGTCAGACACACAGGGAAAAAATGAAAGAATGCATTTGACTGAATAAGTGTGTGTGTGTGTGTGTGTGTGTGTGTGTGCGCCAGATGTCACAGCTGTCCTCGGCAGATTAACTCCAATAGTCTCAGACAGCCAGCTGTGTCTGCACGAGAGACAGTGTGAGAGCAGGGATTCATGGATTTACCATGCGTCAGATGCTGAGTGAAAGAATGTGAAACAATGATGACACAGACTTATTGTTGGCAAAGATGTCTTTCATGCCACAGTGATTTCTGATGTTTCTGGAAATCCATAGTTTTAGTGCTAGATCAGATTAAGTTAAACATGTCGATGTGACATGTTTATGTAAAGCATCAGAATAGGTTGCACACACAACATGTGAAAGGTTAGCTGTGATAGTATGTTGATTGGCTCCAGCAGTCTCCAGAGTTTTCAGGTAGCTTTAGTCTGTGTTGGGTCAATTCTGACGCTGAGCTGTGTGTAAAATGTAATACACTAAATTGTACTGTATTTTAAGATGCAGAGTGCGCTGAGATATAGATGCAACTGGACTAATAGTGATTGAAGCTGAAGTGTGGTGAAATAATTTTTGTGCTAAAATGTGCTAACATGTGCCAGTTCAGAGGCTAAATCTAAAGATGGATAAACTATTAACATACAGCAAATAGCATATTAAAGCATACTCAGAAAGTATGAGTAAAATGTGAATGAATTTATGAAAATCTTATCTTATGTCAGAAAGTCATATTTTCTGAACCATATGTTTTTTGAATTGAAAATACCAAATTATTATGTAGTGAAAAAGCTATGGCAATTCCTAATCATATATAATGCACGTATATTTTACAATGCTAAAAAAAAAGTACCGTTCTCAGATATTTTGTACAATTAACGTACTGGAATTATACCAAGGAAGTGTTTCTGGATTTGAACATCAGCTGTCAGTAACTGAGGAGTCTGGTTCTGTCTAGTGTCGACTCACTCTGGTTAATTACTTTAATCCAGATTATCCACAATGCATCTGGATTAGGACTTTATCTCTTTGTCTTTCTCTATTCCTCTTTATTTATTTTCTTTTTGTTGTCTACTTCTTTGTTTCCATCATGACTTTTAGTGCACAAATGGCTCACAGAACATTATAATGAGGCTTATGCAACTGCTGCTGATTAAACTTTTGTCTCTCGGCGGTCATTACATCACAGTGGAGCTCCAATATTCCACATGGCAATCTCTTACTGCAACATAATTCCTGGGTTTTGCTGTGTAGAGGAATTTTAAGTGCCTTCTAAAGACGTTTTAGCCACAGCCAAAGGAAAATCACCAGGGCCAAAATGATAACAGTTAAAAACAAACAAAAAAAAATCATCAGTTTTGGGGTTTCATTTACTCAAGCGCAATAGACATTTCTGCTCATCAGAAATAAGAGGAAAATGCTTAGACGTCTGTCAAATAAAGTGACCTCATTACCTTAACTGTACATGGACCAATCGTGCTGACTGTCATGTGTAGTAACCCCCCAGTGGCTCATCCTAAGCCAAGAAAACCTGAATACATTTACTGCAATTTCAGAACTGGTTTTACTTGAGGCACACAGACAGCTTAGCAGGCCTCAGTTTGTGCCTGTCATCTATAATCCTTGGACTACAACTAGAGATTATTTTCATTTTTGATGAATCTGATGATTATTTTTTAAATGAAGAGATGAAACAATGAAAATGCTCATTGTTAATTCTCTGGTTTCCAGAGGACATCTTAAAATATCTTGTTTTGTCTGACTAACAAATTTATTTTCTGTGAAACTAATTGCATCGGCTTAGCATTACAGTAAAATTAAATTTCAGTCAGACAGCTAAACAATGGAATTCCCGTGGAAACAAATATCTTTCACTGAACAATAAAGATTATTAGCCCCGACTTCAAATTTAGACCACATTTCTTAATAGGAACACAGATGTTTGAACAGAAGTCTCTGAGTATGTTCCTTTTCGATTTGTATGATGTGAACCAAACTAAAAATTTGTTGTTAGTTCTGTTTCATTTGTTGATGCAGCTCTTTATTTCTTTTTAAAATCTTTTTTAGAGTTTTACACTAAAGCCTGTTTATATTTTCTTATGTCATACAAAATAAGCAGAAAGGACTTTTCCAGCCATTTGGACAGGATACTGAGTTGCAGTGATTTGAAAAATGTTTTTATTGTGTTGACGGTGGAACGTTTTTTCTTACAAAGGAACTTTTGATCCTGTAAAATGCACTCAGAAAAGAGTTACGTGTTGGTAAATAACCATCTGCTTTTTTTCAAGATTGCAGAAAAACACAATAGTTTGATGAATGCTAATGTAATAAGTGAGAGTCATAAAGTTACATGGGTTCAATTTAGGAGATTGCCTGATGGTCCCGTGATAAACATAAATGACGAAGTCAGTCAGCTGCAGCAGCAAATTATTATCAGTTTGTCTGAATCTGCAAAATCCCAGCTCGTACCACTTTCATGGATTACAGCGCATGATGTGCTTTTTGAAATTGCGCCACTAACTTGATGTGCTGCACATTTTTCTCTTGTTCTGCTTTCTGTTTTTCTAGCCTCTCATTCCTTCCATCTTTATACAGTTGTTACAATAAAGGGTACTTTGGCCTACTTCTACTTCGCCCCACCACACGCACACACTCCTACCTCGGGGTTTAAATGGTAGCTGCTGCTGCCATTCACCAGGCTAAGCAGAGCAATCCACCATGAGGGCTCAGAAGGAGCAGAGGAGGGTCGAATTACTGTCGCTGGCGCTGAAATGCCCCCGAGGCTTTTGGCTTGGCTTATGTAGCAGCCATGAATACTCATTTAATGACTACACTACATCCCTCATTTTAACACACGTGTGACACAACAATCTTTTGGTCTTCTGTTTAAATGTTCATGAGCTCTGCATCAAAAACATGTCCGCTCACAGCAGTCTCTAAGTTTAATTGCTGTTTTTTTCAGTTTCGGCTCACATAACCAATCGTTAACCACCTACACCCCTCACCCACTGTCTGTGTCCTGCCTCCTCCTCACGCGCTACCTACACAAAACTCAAACAGTAGTCCTGCTCTCACCTCAATACAGTACTCTACTCTGTGATTAAATTATGCATGACCACGCTGTAAATGTTTCAAAGACTCTGAGTCTTTGAAACATTGGAGGAGAACCAATTTGAGTTTGAGTAGACCTTGGGAGCGAGGACAGTGCTCACTTTCTGACACATCTTTAAAGTGTTGTTTGATGGTAAGGATTTGGTTTTCGGGCTCTGGCTAGATTTATGTTCAGGCATTTAGTGATGATGGCTTAAGTGAACCAAGGAAAGAATGCATTATGTCAGGGAGTCAAAAAGATAGACAAACTTTTTGCTTGTGTGTGTTAAAGAGCCGCCACACACACGCACACACACACACACACACACACACACACTCACTCACACACACACACACAGGATGATGAAAGACAAGACAAAGAAGGGGATGCCAATGGGAAACATCTGGCCATCACTTATATAACAAAAAAACAATAGGCCGTTTTCATAGTTGCAGATGCACTGCGTTTCTGTGTGACTGTGTGTGTGGGTGTATGTTTTCCTCTCATACATATGGTGCATATGCAGCAGATCTGTATTAAAAAATAGAAATAAATCATAAATGTCACCAGGAAGAGGCAGCAGAGGAAGAAAAACAAGAACTCAAGTATTTTGCGTTGCACATTGAAGCATTTAGACTTACTGATTCTTAAATCAGATCAGCGCAAGTGTTTGTTTGGCTGTGAAAAGAGTGTAACGGAGCATATATATGAGCAGCAGAATCAGAGAGAGTGTGGGCCTGCAGTTAACAGTTTGGGTGCTAACTGTAATCTCTGCTAATCTGGATTAGACGTCTAAACGGCATCAGCCAACCCTCTCTTCTTTTCCATTCATCTTTGGCCGCTGGTTGCACAACAGCTCCGAAAGGCAGCGTGTGGGTTGGCGTTATGACTATATACCACCGTTATTTTCCTGATTCTCTTGTCCTCTCCTGCCTGCGCAGGATTGACTCCAAATTGTGGTCTAGGTTAGGGGATTGAGGTTATCGTTGAGACATGTGTGTGTATTTTGGATAAATGGAATGAGGACACAGAGCAGTGTGTCACTGACCCGGCATCACTCTAATTTGGTTTCTACTGAAGCAGAGTGTTGGGGGAAGGGTGAACTGGGAAGCAGCAGGTTCCTGTGAGAAGAACACAGTGAGGCACTTTTCCAAGACTATAGTATATAATTCTCATGTACAAATGACAGTATCATATTAGTACTAAACTAATGATAGAAGAATAGAGTCAAATACCCTTTGCAAGGCCTCAAAATGGCATTTTTACACTTTACCTTAAATCTGACTAAAGCTTAAAAAATCTTAAAGATATGAACTCACCAAAATCAAATCACAGGCTCAGATAAAGGTTTGGAATTGTTGTTTAATAAACGTCTTAAATGTTTAATTGATTGTCAGTGATGAATTGGATTTTGTAAATGTCATACCACAATGTTTTTGAATTATCTGCCCAATATGTTGTTCTAATTGTTTTAGAAAAGAGGAGTAGCAAAAAGTTAAGCTAAAACAATTTTGTTAAATAGTTTGCAACCATTTTATCAGGCACAATGCTTGATATTCAGTCTGACAGTACCTAGGTCTACAGAATATTTGACTCTAGAGCTTCTGAACTGACAAGGTCTCTGTTTCATATTGTTGTAAACTGAATGGGTTTTATCCTCTTGGGAAATTGTAATGGGCATATGGATAAAAACATGGATACAAAAATTCAAATTGCAAATATTTGATTGCCGCAGCCCACTCAAGCCCACCTTCTTCACATCTGTCACTTCCTGTCCTTCCACAGGCTGTAACAGGGAAGAGCTTTGGAGACAAGGACTTCCGCAGTGCTCTGGAGAACGGCATCCTGTTGTGCGAGTAAGCCTGTGACATCACCTCAGTTTTTGATGCCTGCAGGAGCGACAACACACATAAACTCCCCCTAAGACTCAATAAATCTCTGCTCCTCCCCTCCTCCACACAGGCTGCTGAGTGCAATCAAACCAGGGCTGGTCAAGAAGATCAACAGACTGCCCACCCCCATCGCTGGGCTGGTAAGAAGACACTCTCCAGTGTGGCATTCTGCTCAGTAAACCCTCCCGTTCGTCAAAGTGATAAACTGACTGTTGTTCCCCCGCTGTTTCCTGTAGGACAACTTGTCAGTCTTCCTGCGGGGCTGCGAAGAGTTGGGCCTGAGGGGCTCCCAGCTGTTTGACCCCGGGGACTTGCAAGACACTTCCATACGAGCTAACCTCAAGTAAATGCGTATACACGTGTGAATGTGTGTGTGTGGATTTTTGTTCCTATGTGGGTCTGTTTCAACGGTGCATCACAAAATAATAACATGCTTTTCTGTCTTTAGGGATTCCGACTGCAACCGCAAACTAAAAAATGTGAGTTGCCATGGCCCTCTCTTCTTCTTCTTTTTTTTTTTTTTTAAATCTTGCGTTATCGTCAGTGTTTATAAATTTACACCAAACCCTTCATCTGTCTCACAGGTTCTGAACACAGTGTTCTGGCTAGGAAAGGCTGCCAGTGGCTGCGCCTCCTACAGCGGCCCAACACTCAACCTCAAGGAGTTTGAAGGGCTTCTAGCTCAAATGAAGGTGGTGAGTAAACTCAAGTGAGAACAAGCAGGGAGGAGGAGGAGGAGGAGGAGGAGGAGGTGGAGGAGGAGACAGGCAGAAAGGCAGATAGTGGCATGGAGGACGTGTGGGGGAGGGATTTGTTAGTTTCCTTTCTTTGTTGAGGTGTTGGAGAGTCACATGAGACAAAAAACAAACACATTTTTGTTTTGGTTACACCACAATTACCCCAAACAGGATATGAGTTTGGACAGATTGGCTCTTCACATTTTATCATTTGGCTCAATTGGAAGTCCATTCAAATGAGTTTGCCTTTTAGTTTTTTTATGCATGACAATGAGACAACCCATGTTTTGAATCTTTAGTGAGCTTCTTCATGCATTTTTTATGTTGCATAACATTTGTATATTATCCTCTTCTGATTGGCTTTGTGTGTGTAGGAGAGTGAGGAAGGAGGGGACAGTCCACAGAAGCGCAGCGTTAGAGACAGCGGCTATGACTGCTGGGACTCAGAGAGAAGCGAGTCTCTCTCTCCACCACGACACACGCGAGACAACTCCCTGGACAGGTGGGAGACATCTGTCAACACACATGCACACTGATATATGTGGCTGCACACACAAGGCTATTTAAGATCACTCATGAGAAGTTCAGTGCAACTGTTGACACAAAACCTGCATTTGTATCTGAATCAATGCTCTGCATGTAAATTTAGTTTGTAAAACTTTAATATCTGCTTTGGAGTAATTTCTTTTTTCTTCACAGTCTGGATTCCTTTGGCTCCCGCTCGCAGCACAGTCCTTCTCCTGACGTGGTGAATCGAGGCAACAGCGATGGTCAGTTGTGATGAATGTATCTTTTTTAAATTTTTGAGAAAGCAAGGGTAGCTACTAGCTGCTTCCCCCTGCTTCTGGACTTTACACTAAGTACTAGCTTAGCGTAAAGTCCATAATGCACAAACACTGGAGTGGTCAATCTTTTCTTCTAGCTTTAAGGCAGTAAGTGCCAAAGTGTAACTTTAAAAAATATTGAACTATTCCTTTAAATACAAAACCTCTCATCCATAAATAGACTGACTGCTGTTCTCTAGCATGTTGGGGTTTTAACCTTCGTATAGTATGACCGGTCCGGCTGGCTGGACGACAGCTGACTGTTTCAGACTGTGTGTGTGCATCTGTCTGTGTTGTGCCCCAGATGCAGCAGCTGTTGGTCTAAGTAGCAATCACTAGAGATTTGGACCTGGGAAACTCAGGCTGAGGTCAACATCCTGCTTGACATCTGTCTGTGTGTTTGAAGAGGGCTATCACAAGCATCCTGTTTATTATGTCTTTCATGTTGACAGGAAAATATATGTGCAGCAGGGTGACAAGAAAAACACAATGCCAAAGCTAGGAATAGCTTCATTCCCTAAGTTCCCTGCAGGTCACAGAGAAAGTGGGGTACCACTTACCAAACAATATGGACATGTGATGTAGTTTATCCTAAATGTAATTATTTTGTCAGCATTTATACAATTTGGTATGATGGTATTGAGTGGTGGCCCTGCGATGGACTGGTGACCTGTCCAGGGTGTCCCCTGCCTTCACCCTAAGTCAGCTGGGATAGGCTCCAGCCCCCCCGCGACCCTAGTGAGGATTAAGCGGTGTATAGAAAATGGATGGATGGATGGTATTGAGTGGTTATGGTAAAATGTGGTGTTGCTATGAATTATTAAAATGCTAAAAGTATGTAAAAATCAGTAGCTAAGTGCTGGTAAACTAGTGAAAAAAATATAAAACTAGCATGTGTTGACTGCTGGAAACAGCATTCACACACTGTATTAAGATGTGATCTGTGTCCGAAGGCTTTGTCTGGATAATGGCATCAGATTCATGGGTGTTCACACCTGGTATAATAGATGTTAATCTTGTTATTTTTATCCCACCTTCTTTGTGGATAGTCAGTTTTAGTAAGCAAATTAGTTAGGTGAGGCTGGTGGCTTTGTAGAGAAGAATAGAATAGACTAGAATAGAATAGAATAGAATAGAATAGAAAAATACTTTTTTTATCCCAAGCCTGAGAAATTACTGTGATACAGCAGCAGCAAAGAAAAAACACCAATCACAACAGAAAAGGGCTAAAGTTAAATACTATTTAAAAAATGAAAAAAAAAAAAGAAAAGTGAAATAAAAATAAAATAAAATTAATAAAATAATGTGCAAATTGAAAAAAAACAGTGCAAAGACAAAGGATTTTACAGAGCAGAGAGCTGAGAATGCTCTCTGCCAGACAGAGGTGAGGCGTTGTACAGGGTTATTGCCCTGGACAGGAAAGATTTCCTGTACTGGTCCTTGTGACAGCGGAGCTGAATCAGTCTGTTTGAGAAGGAGCTCCGCTGCCTGTCCAGAACGGGGTGGAGAGGGTGGTCGGGGTTATCCAGAATAGATAACAGTTTGTTCAGAGTCCTCCTCTCCACCACCGCTTCCGTGGTGTCCGGTTTGCAGCCTATTACGGAGCCAGCCTTTCTGATCAGTTTGTTCAGGCTGCTGGTGTCACCGGCTCCAATGCTGCCTCCCCAGCAGACTACAGCAGAGAACACTGCACTGGTAACAACGGACTGATAAAAAATGTTCAACATCTTGCTGCACACACCAAAGGATCTCAGCTTCCTCAGGAAGTAGAGTCTGCTCATCCCCTTCTTGTCTACAGCCTCGGTGTTGATCTTCCAGTTTAGTCTGCTATGGACGTGGACGCCACAGCTACTTGTAGTCCTCCACCGCTTTAATGTCCTCTTTCTGAAGTCGATCACCATCTCCCTGGTCTTGGCCACATTCAGGAGCAGATGGTTCCTCCCAGACCATTCCACAAAGTCACTCACCAGTGCTCTGTACTCCTCATCCTGTCCACCACGTATACACCCAACCACTGCAGAGTCGTCAGAGAACTTCTGCAAGTGAACCAACTCAGAGTTGTATTGAAAGTCTGAGGTGTACAGGGTGAACAGGAATGGAGAGCGCACAGTGCCCTGTGAGGCTCCTATGTCACTAACCACCACATCAGACAGGGCAGCTCCAAGATGGACAAACTGCGGCCTGCCTGTCAGGTAGTCAGTAACACAGGAGGCCGTGGGTGAGTCTACCATCAACGTTTGCAGCTTCTCCCTCAGCAAAAGCGGCTGGATGGTGTTGAATGCACTGGAGAAATCAAAGAAAATGATTCTCACTGTGCAGCCAGCACCATCCAGGTGTGAGTGAGCCCTCTGCAGCAGTTAGATGACGACATCCTCGACTCCCAGACGAGGCTGATAAGCAAACTGCAAAGGGTCAAGGGAAGATTTGGGCCAAGACCAGCCTCTCCAGCACCTTCATCACATGAGAATAGGATAGAGTAGCCATGTTAATATCATATGTAAATTGGGTCCTGTATGCTTGCAGTGGTTTGCAGAAGTTATTATACAAGGGCTAATTAAAACTGACCTTTTCACCTTCATAATTCTTTTCCCTGTTATGCTCCACTGCTCTTTGTTGCCCAGGGCGAGGCAGCGACTCGGAGGCCGATGCCCCCAGCAGGAAGCCAGATGTGCGAAAGGACGACATGTTGGCCAGACGGACTGCCAGCGGTGAATCAAGAAGCTCAATCCCCTTTAATCAGTTTCTTCCCAACCGAGCCAACGCCAGCTCCTACATCCCGACTCCGCGACGAAAACCCCATCCAGAAGAGGGAGAGCAGCGGAGGTAATGATCAACACATTCAAAATCAGTCATTGCAGTTCAAATGATTTGTATTTGTAAAGCGAAATCAATTCTAACACGCATCAACGGAAAACAAAAACCGAATAGGAAAAGAGGTAAAAAACAAAAAACATGAATGCCCGGACACACAGACCTCCTCCTCCTTCCTAACCTTTTGCTGCCATTACACACCATTCCTCAGTCACCCTCCAGCCACTCCAGAGCAAGGCAAAAGACCTGGACTGCACCATAAAATCCCCAAGACTGTCACTTGGGCTCCTGAGAGCAATGGGGAAAACCTTAAACAGGAAGAGGAGATGGACACACAGCAGGTGTTGGAGCAGAGGAAGTTGCAGAAGTTGGAGAAGGCAGGAATTAAAGTTCTTCCTGCTGCTGTTCGCTACAGCAGGTCAGCGAGGACGAGCATGTGAGCTGCTGCTGTGGTGGTTCAACAGTTTCATTTGCTCTCACTGACAAAAAGTTGTGAACGTAGCTGTATTGTGGTTTGTGCTCCACTCACACTGGTGCTGTGGACTGCCTTTTGGTTTTGTGAAGTTGTACGGTTGCAGTAGTCTTGTCACTTTATGATGATGTTCACATCAGAGTGTTACTGATTTGTGTGGTGACTGATAACTAACGGACTGCTGGTGTCATGTGAGAGACGTATAGGAGAGGCTGATTTAAACCATGGCGGTTGTTTCTGTTGTGATTAGAGGAGTCAGTGAACGGGAATGTTGCCTGATTGAGTCTCTGCTTTTGGGGTTGTTTCAAAAGCACACAATCATACATCTGTGCAAACTTCAACTAACCAACTATAATATTTTTACGCGCATGTCAATCCAAACCTGCACATTGTTGCTTCTGCTCAAGTGCTCAAGTTTTATTCCCTCTGAAATGACCTTCTTACGCCGTCCCATCTCCAACTCCAGCCCTCCCACAGTGGAGGAAAAAGAAGTGCGTTCACCATCCCCAAACATCATCCTTCGTTGCGATAATGACTTTTTGAGCTCTCAGAAAGCTGCATGGGATTCCGCCTCTGATGGAGAGGAGGAGGCAGAAGTGCGGAAAGTTCCAGATGTTCGTAGAGATGACTTGGCATCCAGACGAGCTCATCGTGGCCCTGTTGCTTCCAAGGTGCATCAGTTTGTCCCTTCACCTTTATGTACCAACAAAGACAGAGAGCGCTGGGAGGGCATCAGACGAGCCTCGCAGCAAACACTGCAGGAGAAGGAGATCAGGTCAGCCATGTACGTTGGTGTTTTTATTTCATCTCCTCTAACTCAGGTCTAAATTTCCTTTCTCATTTTCCTGCTTTGTCTTTTTTTGGTTGTTGTGGTCACTTGTGGTTTGATGTGTGCGTTTGTGCTCCACTTTGATGGGTAACGTGTGCCGTGTAATGCCACTGTACTGGCTCTGTGATTGGACAGTGAGAAGGAAGCAGTCCCTGACATCATTACACGCAAAGACAACCCCTTCCTAAACTCTGCGCCTCGCCACGAGGAAGAGGTGGATGAGGAGGATGAGGGCGAAGAGGGAAAAGTAAAGGTGATGCCTAATAAGCAGAAGGATGACCTGGCTCGTAGGCGGGCTCAGAGCAGGCCCCTCCCTCACAGGGACGGACCGATGAGCTTTGTTCCTTCCTCCATGAGCCAGGCAGATATGCAGAAGTGGGAGAGACTCAAGATGACTGAACCAAGGTGCCCAACACACACTCTCTGTTTCAGCACACATGCAGTACACCTAAACGCTGCCGTATGTAAAGTGTGTGGTTGTTAATGACAGTGTGTTGGAAAGATGATGGGCAAATGCAGTGTGTGTGTTTGGTTGTGCATTTGTTTCTAGTCAATTCTAGTCCAAAGTACTTAACCTGCAGAGAAGACTTCATAGTTAAAACTTAAATGGCATTCAGTAGTCCTTTTTGAAACCTGTAATCAACAGTGACTTCAAATATAAAGGTTTTTAATACCTTATTTCAACTGACAACTTGCTGTATCCTCATTAGCCTGCAAAATCCACTTTAATTAAAACCATTTTTATTGTCTCTGTCACCAACTTTTAAATCCCGGTCACATTTTGCCAACAATATTTTGTGAAAAGGAAGCAAGATAGAACTGTAAATTTTTGGCAGTATCACTTAAAATAAATCTTTTTTGACGGCAAACACCCCTGATATAAAAATAAACATTGAGGAATACTAATTTAATTTTGGATGTGAGGGTGTATGCAAAACTGGAGGCAGGCAGCCAGTGGAAACTCTGTGGAGTTACTGGTCAAGATTTAGTGCAGCATAAACCCCTTTTAATAAGATGAGAGTTTGTTTAATTTATTTATTTTTTGCACAAAATTGTTACACAGATTTGGTTTCTCTTGGACAGAGTTAAGCGGGCTGTTCCTTGTCTTTGTGTGAAGGTAAGCTAAGTGGACGTAGCTAAATATTTTCAGACATGAGAATGGTCTCACTCTTCTCATCTAATTCTTGGCAAGATAGCAAATAAGCATATTTCTCAAATTTTTAAACAGTTATTAAGCCAAATGTTCATTTGTTGACTGTTGGTCAAGCAGATTGCAGATTGATTTTTATGCCATAAATCATTGAGTAATCAAAATCTTGTCAACAGCCACAATGTAAACAAAGTTTACATGAAGTAAGTGTAACAACACATCCTGTTAGTACTCTCCGCTAAGAATCTCTTATTAGATTTTTGATATAATTTTTCTTTTAGTAAGCAGCCTTACGTCTCCCTACACTTAGTTTGCCTTCTCTCCTGTTCTCTGTCGCTCCCCATGTTCTCATCTGCTTGTTTGTTCTCCTCATTATTGTGCACTTCAGTCCTCTTCAGTCTTCTTTGACAGGCATTGAAACAGAGCAGGGAATTGGCCGGTTTGTATGAGACTCTGTGTGTGTGACCAAGAAAAGAGGCGACTGTTGGCCGTGAGCACTGCTTCGGCTTTGTTTTCCTCTCTCTGTGCTGATGTCATTAGATAGGATAAAGAGTTTTTTGTGTTCCCAGAGGAGCAGCAGTGAGTAGGAAAATGTGGCTACCTAGAGTAGATAAAATACTCGGTGTGTATGCGTGAACATGCAAGTGATTCAAATACAAAACCCCATGCTTTGTCCTCTTCTGTCCATCCATACTTCCTGTCTGATTCGACATTTCCACCTCATCCTTCTTTTGTCTTCACAGTTCTCTGTCTGTAGTTGCTCATGATTTTCTTTTCCACCCTGTTTCTTTTCCTCCCTGCTGTTTTGCTGGCTGTTGTTGGTGTGGATGATTGTAACTGTGTTTTGTTTGTGGGCCTGTCTTCATTTGTGAGACTGTATCTACAGTGAGGCTAGCCCAGCCCCTGTGTGTCAGGCTTGTCTGGAGAAAAATTATGGAAGTCCTCTCAGCGGATCAGCAAAGGCTGGACGAGGTCACAGCAAAGTTGTGACCTTTGGGGGCGTGACTGAGATCGAGCAGCCTATAGACACAGTCATGTCAAGTGAAGGGGAGGAGACGGAGTTGCTTAGACGACTCCTTTCCAAGGCAACCGTAGCCATGCCTACCATTGGCCTGGACTCCCAGCTTTCAGAGCGGGAACGCAGGTATGGACGAGGCCAAATGCAAGACAACTTAGGCTGCACTGGCTCAAATCCAAAGTCGCCTGCATTAGTATGGACTGCACTGAGGAACACTAGGCCACTTTCTGTTGCATTTCTTATTAAATTACTCAAATAAATTGCTTGTCAGTGTCATTTGGAAAATGTTTTACATTTTAAACCCATTTGAATTAGTGCATTAGCTAGTTTGAATGCACTTCTCTGCATTGTACTGATTTGCTTGTAGTTTCAATAGGAAAAAAATAGTGCACACTCATACAGACTTGCATGTACAAACTGTGACTAGCAAAGCTAGATAAATCTGCTTGAAAGCTGATCGTAGCTTATTGCAGATATGTCAGTACTGGCATATATGTATGAGTGAATTACAAGAAATTCTAATAGAGACATTCCAGATGTTAATTTTATGTATTTGAAGCCATTTTCTTCATACACAATCGATCAGAGAGCACAGACAAAACATGTCCTGCTTAAAAAATATCATGTTCACTAAACCAAATGTTTCCCAACCCTTGTTTATATATGAAAAAAATATCATTAACCAGTAAAATGTTTGCAGTTTTTATGAACTGTAAAATATCAGCATTGCCCTGTTGGCAAAGGGTTTTAAGAGTGGCAAGAATAAACATGCAACTTCCCTGGTTCTCTGCTGATTTCCTGTCATATCCATACTGGCAGCTATCAAATAAAAGCTTAAAGTGCCCCCAAAATCTATTTTTAAAAAACACTTACCAGATATGGACTTCAAAAATTGAGGTTGGGCTCTAGTTTTAGACTATAATCAATGAATCATTCATGCATTTTCATAGTAATTGCTGAAATCTGTTCCCCCTGAGATGTTAAACAACCTGTTTTTGTAAATTATGTAGATATGTTACTGTTGTGTGTTTTTTCTAACCCATGAATGGTTTTATTTCATCCCCCTTCACAGTCGGTATTTTATAACCATGCTGGCCTGCTTGTCTGCATGTTTATGCCTGGATTTTACAACTATAGTTGCGGTCATAAGTATAGATTATCCATATTTGATGCTGTGGTTTGAGCATTTTACAATACTTCAACAGCCAGATAGATGGAGGTGACTCCAGTCAAGCTACTCCTACCTCTGCTGACCCCCCACCCTGGACCCCCGAGGCCACTCCCACTCCTGCTGAGCTAGATGCTCGTCTGGCTCAGTATGAACGGAGGACAGAGGAAGAGGACGAGGAGGAAGAGGAGAGAATCCCAGATCTTCAGAAAGACGACATGATGGCCAGGAGGACAGGTGTTTTCCATAAACAAAGCACCTCTACAGGGACTTACAACCGTTTCCTCCCTCTGCCCGCCTCCAAGCGCTGCACACAAGAGGAGAGCACCACAGATGCTGCTCCGCGAAACAAAAAGCAAGTCCAGGCAGACAGGAGCAAGAAAGTGAACGTCAGGTGGGCTGAGATTTGATTTGGACTGTGTCTAGCAGCATGCAGAGGCCACTAACAAGCTTGGTGTTGTTTTGGATCTTCAAAAAAAAGTTAAGTTATTTCAATTATAAGACTTTCTGTCACAGAGTGGAGCAACAGCAACCCAGAGTTCCCATGGAAACACCTCAGCAGCAGCTGGAGACAACAGTGATCCGAGCAGCGTCTCACAGCGATCATGAATACGATGATAATGAGGACGACTATGATGAAAATGAACCTGCGCCTGACTTGGAGAAAGACGATATGATGGCACGAAGGACCAGATCATTACAAAAAGCGAGTGCAGCCAGAACAAATCAGTTCCTGCCTGTACCTGGATCAGTCAAATATACCATCAGCCCAGTGTCTGCAATGAAGCAGCTACACAGCAGACCTAAAGTCACAGAGAAGATTTACAGTGAAAGGTATTTGCTGTGTTTGAATGAAGAACAGATTGTGGTGTTGGTCAACTACTGCAAATAACAAAGAATATTATACTAGCAGAGCTGAAGGTTTAACCACGTTTGCTTTAGATGGCTTGAAATACTAACATCGGCAGGTTTCTGTGGTGATTTAGAGGTGATCCTGACTTGACTATTCTGTTGTTGTGGCTCTGAACCAGTGTGTTTGAAGTCCAGCAGCTGGATGCCTGATGTGGATTCATTTGTTTAAAAGGGCTTGGATTTGCTGTGGTGGTGGATTTCTTGCAGCTCTGTTTCTCACATGGCTTGGCTCAGTTTGTGCTTCGGTTGGACTAATCTGGTATTTTGTTTTGTTGGTGGTCTAACTTTGGCTTTGTTTGGCATGACTTTGGCTTTTTGGTTCCAGTTTAGTGTGGAGTTGTTTGGCTGTTATCTCTGTAAATCATGACTGAATCACAAAAAGGCTTAAAGTGCTGCTGTTCTACTCTGTTAAATATGCTGAAAGAGTTGGGTCACCCAGATTACATAAAAGAAAATCCCTGAACAGGTCTGGAAGTTTATGATCACCTTGTACATTTATGGAAAGAACTATGTAATATGGTAGTAATTTTAGGGACAAGAAACATCTCTTTGAACTCCATTTAAACCCAAGTATAATATAAATATCCTCCACTATGAATTAAATTGCCTGAAGACAAATTTCAAATTTTTGCACATTGAATTAAAGTACTGAATAAAAGAATCTAGGTCACGCAGTGTACAAACCGAACACTGTCTCTGCTTTTCTTGTAGCTAATATGAAACTAACTAGCTATTTCCAAGAAAACCCCAAGGAAATTATTTGAAAATTATTTTGAAGAAATTTATTTTTAAGATATCTATCTTTAAAAGTTTGCTACATCCAAATAACTATGAGCTGGACAAAAAAGATAGAAAATATTTGTCAACGCGTTTGATAATTGGTAGAAGTAGCTGTAGTGCATAGTTTATCATACAAATGTATGAAATGACAATGTGAAAACAGTGATCATGTAAAAGAGGCTGCTCGTAGTGATGAAAATACAGAGAATTATCATCCGAATTTGCAGTTCTACTTGGCTCAGGACTTCGTAGTGTGTTTCAGGTCTCTCTTCCTACTACTTTATTGTTCTGGTTCACTTTCACCGATCTCTTAACATCGTTTTATACTGCCTACTCAGCACCAAACAGCAGAAAGCCACAGCTGTTGAACATAATGAAGCACTGAGCAGCTTAAGAGACATATGTTTCCTTCAGGAGCTTGTAGAGACCAAAACATAGCCTGAATACCGGACTTAGACACAGCAGGAGGACAGAAACTCCAACTGAATGATAATGTTTCTCAATAATCACAGTTGCTCCACTAATTTGTTTTGCACTTATCTTATAAGAACCAGTCTTTGTAATAGTTTTTTTTCCTGAATATACAACATATTCTATTAAAAGCACACTACAGAAGTGATGCTTCTTCTGGAGCACCACAAACAAATTTTCATCATTGTGTTGGAGTGGAGGCAGAAATCTCAGAGACAACACTGATATCTCAGAACCCCAGCTGTTAAAAACCAAATCCATTTGCATAACTACAAAAAACAAGTTACACTATAAATATATATATTTTTTTAAATGGGTGAACTGACTCTTTAAGCTCTTTCTGGCTTCTCATCTCAGAGCAGGTTAGAAGTTTCAGCAAACACAGTGCAGATCAGCTGCAGTCTTGTGTGATTGATTCACCCTTCAAGCGTCTTTTCTGTTCATCTTGGATCGTTGTCTCAGCAGCATTGTTGCTGTGGCAGCAGAACCTCAGACCCTGTCCTCCAAAGCCCCAACCAGCCCCCCATGTGCAGTACTGAGGGAGAGGCAGGAGGAGGAGGAAGAAGAGCAGAAAAAGGGAGACATAATGATCTCTAACACCACTGCCACTGTGGTGACTGAACCCGCGTCTTCTCCTTCACTCGTGCCTCCACCCAGTCCTGCTGCTGCTGCTGCTGCTGCTGCCCAGATCTGTAGAGTGGAGACAGAGCTGGAGAAGCAGCAAGTGGAGGAGAGAGTTGAGGAGAGAGCTGAGGTGGAAGAGAGGAGGAGGGATATGAATGAGAAACCGCAAAAGAAACCCTTCTGGCTGGAGGACGATGAGCTTCCTCCAATAATGTGAGATGCTTGTTGAACTCTTTTTACACCATCAGTTCCATTCTCAGATTTGATGACCGCAACCAGCTTGTATTTATTTCACTTTCACTCATTATTTTTTTCAGGTCTGTGTGTGGAAATGAGAAACATTTATCTCTTTTAGCATCTTTGTTTGCAGTGGTGGTGCCACGTATTTAATGGATGGCACCACCTGAAATGTGAAGTGCCATTAGGACTCCTGCAAAACATCCTGTCACACAAACCCTCACCTGCTCTTTCCTGTCATTCACTTAACTCTGTTGTTGTTTTAGGATGAGCCGACGAGTTGCTTTTATGTCTGAGGACACTGAGTAAGTGTTTAAGCGTGAATCCGGATGGACTTCTGCATGATAGTAAAATATACACGCTGTGCACGTTACATTTTAAGAGTTAAATCCCAAAACTGTGATAATACTGTATAATCACACATACACACTAACTTTATTCTCATTGCTCTGCTTTGTAATTTCAGAATTCTTCACTAACATCAGGCTTTTTATTGTCATCTTTTGGTTTTAAACTTTTCTTTTACTGTAATTGTGGTTTTTGCTTGTTTAAAAGTAGTAAGTCATTAAAATCAACACAGACTTCTCCCCCGACGCCACATTGTTAAGCTAAATGAATTGGTTTAGCTTGCCAAAATAATCAAGTTCTTTTTTTTGCTCAGTTGCTTGTTAATTGCTTTGTGATTACTTTATGTAAACAGTAACATGTTTTTGTTACTGTGTGGACATGTGGGGCAACACGTACACAACTAATATAAATCCACCACATACAGAAAATAAAAACAAGAGTGAATAATATAATTTTTGGTGGACTGTTACTGGTTGTGTATGTCTTGCTGTGTATATATAGCTCATCACTAAACATTGCAATTATTTTTCGAAGGCTTGTTTTCTTTTTACCCTGTTGCTTTTTGATCATAAATGTGCATTATTTTGCAGATAACATTGTACATGTTTTTTTTTGTTTGTTTTGTTTTTTTTAAGTATGATTTGGTGATAAACACTGATGTGACTGATGCAATTGCTAAATTAAGTGTGCTGTTTTCCAGAGCTAAAATTGAACAAATTGAGAATTCGTTGAGTTTCAGTAGTTTATTCAAGGTTATACTATCTTTTTCCTCTCTAGGAGTGTGAGCATGAGTGACATACTTAATGAAGAAGAGGTGGGACATTTACCGCCAATGAGCCAATCGCGATATGAACGCATGCATGAGCAATACAACAACTTTCAGGAAGACGAGGACCACTGGCAAGACGTAAGATACGTAAGACAAGTGTGGAGACATTTTCAGTTTTAATAATATCAATATCCTGAATTAACGCTGTGAACCTGCTACAGGACTTGGCTCGTTGGAAAAATCGCCGCCGCAGCGCATCACAGGAGCTCATCAAAAAGGAAGAGGAGAGGAAGAGAATGGAGAAAAGGCTGAAGGAGGAGGGAGGTGACGGCAATAAGAGGAAAAGCATTAAGACATACAAAGAGATTGTGGAAGAGAAGTAAGAATAATACTGATTACATTTTTAGTGTTGCCCATAACATGAGGCTCATCTGAAACTTATTTGAATTAGTCTAAAGACAAAAACGCTGCCTACTCACTGAATGCTTTGTGTCTCTCATCTTATTCCTCCTCTCTAGGGAGCGCAGAGAAGCAGAGCTGTGTGAAGCCTACAGAAATGCAGCGACTCCAGAGGAGGCAGCCTTGGTTTTACAGCGTTACGCTCTCCGCTTCACCATCAGCGACGCAACATTGGACAGCCTAAAACTGCCCAGAACAAAACCCAAACAGGAAGTAATTCAGGTGGACAAAGAGCACAAACCAACATCACTTGTTAATAACTCTGAGATGTCGGACTCTCTGCACAAACCAGAATCGGCTGTTACAACAAACCAGACAAACCAGAAGCACACAGAACCTGAGGAGATGGAGACAGATACAACTGACGAAGAAGATAAATCAGCTGCCGTCTCCGCCAGCTCTCCAGCACCAAACAGTCCCGTCTCCGCAGTCACAAACTCACAAAATGTGCCTCCTCAGTCACTACAGCTCAGTGAACCACAGACACAGATGACAGAGTCTTCATCTACACATCAGCAGCCGATTACAGGAGATGCACAGCCTCAGACCAAACAAACTTCACCTCAGACTGCACAAGTGCAGCCTCACCCCACACAGCCTGCACACACTGTCCCCTCCCCTCCATCTGTCTCCTCCAGACCCGTCCCCCTGCTGGCAGCCAAACCCTACTGTCAGCCCAGGAGCACACTGTCTGGACACAAACCCGTCAAGGTAGGGGCTCCATCTTAGTCAGACCAGTCTGTCAGCATCATCTTAAAGCTCCTTGTTCTCAGCTCATTTTTACAGGAGTTGCTTTAACTTTTTTACCATTTTCACTTAGTTTTACTGCATTTCACAACGTCATTGAAACATGAAGGTGTGCTGAAAAAATGTGAAGTCTCAGCTTCCTTGATAAAAATGGAAATGCATCTTTGAACTTCTCCAAAGGAGCATGTCTCATCTGGTCGACTGACATGTCATCCACATACTATTGTTGATTATTTCACTCTGAGCAATGAGATAAGTTTATATCATTATTTATTTGCTGATCTTAGTTTTTTTGTTTGCCTTTGGTTTCCAGTCCCTGCTCATGTGGCATGTGGTTTATTCTATTTATCTACATTCTATAATTGTGTGCTGGAGAAGATGTGGAGCTTTATCTAATCTTATAAATATTTAAATTTCTGTTAAGCTTGGCATGGCTATGTGTTTGTCACATCTTCAAATCATGTGCAGACACTCATATTCTTCATATTCATCAATCAGGCTCCACCTCCTTGTTATCCTGATCCTTTCATACAAGTAATACTTAACTTTAAATTCACCTGTTTGTCGTTTATGGTCTGTGATTAGAGAATAAATTAATGAGTTATGCCACACAGTAATGTTGTAAAGTAGGAAATGTAAGTGTGTATTTATGTACAACACTTGTAATTACTGCTTTGGACATCCAAACACGTAATTATTAAGAACATGAAACATACTTTATTTATCCCAGAAGGGAAATTCAATTCAAAAACATGGGAGAAATTATAATTGTTGATGAATATTGTACATTAATAAACACTTAGAAGTCCTTACATCTGCTTATAACTGCATCATAGTGCGTTATACACCATTTATGAAATGTGAGTATATTTCTAATAAACGGTAAATGGGGGAGTTAAAGTAAAGTGTCGCCTCTGTCTGTGTCCCACTCAGATGGATGGGTTGGTGCGAGTGAACGGAGAAGCAACGGAGGATTTAACTGCTTCCATCCCACCTACCTCCCCTCAGCACTCACCACATGAGATCAAAGATGTTTCCCCCAAACAGACGGAGAAAGATCTTCCGCCTGAAGAGGCTGGTAAAAATCCAGAGCCGGCGGAGCAGCCACAACCTCCGCAGGCAGAGAAATCAACCTCGTCTTCAGCCTCCGCCATCAGCTCGCTGATTGGAGGCCGAAACTGTATCATCACAACAACTATTGTGACAGAACTCACACAGACCCTTGTGGAGCCGCTTCAACCTGATTTCCAAAGCAATGGACAGGTAATACTGCAAGTGACATGTTAAAACACAACACTTGTGTTTATCCCACTCATCAAAACAGTATGTTCTTTAGATTCCTAATTTTCTGCAAGGTTAGCGTAAATTTTTCGTTTTTTAAATAGGTTTTCTACCTTCCAGACAGACACTCAGTTTTTTTTGTCTTTACACTCTAAAAATCCACTTCATTGTATCTTGAAAGAAAGTAATGTCTCAGAATCCGTTGTTTAAATGTCTACACTTTGTCTAAGATGTGTTGTAGCTGCATGGAAAAATACACAAGAAAGTTTTCAAGAATCCTTCATCCTGGTTCATTCAAGTGTTTATGCAAAGCTCTGACACTCGGGACATGAGAGTCAGCTTAGAATCAGTTAATTCTCACCAATCATTCGTTGTTTAACCCTCTTAGTTTTAAACACCTATACATCTAGTTATTAAACAGTCTTGGTCACACTGCTGTATATTCCGCCACAGTGGAGGACATGAGTCTGACCTGAAACTATCTTCAGTGTCTTCCCTGTGGATCACTTATGTAAAGCAAGTTTCTGGTTTCTACCAGTTCATTTTAATAAACATTTACATGAACTAAGCCCAGCGGCTGCCTGGAGTGTAAAGAAAAAAACAATACAATTATTTTAAAAGTCAGCAGAATGGTCAGAAAGTATTATGTGATTTTCACTAAATTTACTACAACATTTAAAAAACACCTTTATGAGCTATTAAAAAATGTATACAATTGATAGATAGGACAAAAAGAAATCCATTTTTTCCAGGCAGGTGTTTTCCAGTTATCATTTTATTAATAAAATTGAATATTCAACCTTTAGGGTGGGACCAGCGTGTTGTTGGAGAGTCCAGTGGAGGAAAGATCAGCATCGTCAACCAACAGCTTGCAGGAATATTCCCCCACTGTCACGGGTAAAACTGCTCTCTTTTCAGTCACTCATACCAAGAGGTATCATCTACAGCATTATGTCTCCCTGCAGATATTTAGTATAATTTCTTTTAGCAGATGTAATGATTTTCTGTGTCTGTCCTGTTTAACAGAAGGACTTGAGGAAAGCAATGTGACCGTGAGTATCTCTAAACATCTCCCGCTTGTTCTTTCTGTTCCTCCTTCATTCTTAAATTTGATCCTGTCCTGACCCCTTCGTCTCCAGTGGTCGCTGTAGTGGCTGTAGTCAGACTTGTCCTCTCACCTTTCCTCTCTTTCTGTCCTTTGGCCCGTATACATGTGTGTGTGTGTGACTGTTGTTCGGGTCTGGGTAGATTGAGACCCCCATGTTGAACTTGGCTAAACGTGTTAATCACTGGGTCTGGGACCCCAATGAGGAGCGTAAACGCTTGGAAAGGTGGCAACAGGAGCAGGAGCGTGTCCTCCAGGTACTGTAGTGTAATGGTGTGTATGTGCATGGCTCCACGAATGCTTAGCAGAGAACAGTCGGCACATGCTGTGCTGGATGCACTTATATATGTTTTATGTGTGTGTCATACATGTGTTATTGTGCATACAGCATTTAACACCAACAGTGTTTCTTTGCAGGAGCAATATGAGAAAGAACAAGAGAAGCTGAAGAAGGAATGGGAGAAAGCACAGCTAGAGGTGGAGGAGGAGGAGAGGAAACACAATGAAGAGGTACAAACACGCAGACACGCTAAAAATAAAACACCTCATGTTCTGGTTTTGTTTTTCCATCTTTGTTTGTTTGTTTTCACTGTGCTTCTTCCAGGAGAGACGGATTCTGGAGGAGACAGTCACACCACTTAATCCCACCGGCTTGTTGAACCAGCAGTCAGGACAGACAGCGACGCCTTCGTCAGCCCCAGAAAACAACAACAACACAGGAGAAAGAAACGTTCCCCTGCAGCACAATGGCCAAAGAATCTCCACAGGGAATGAGGATCAGCACGCATCCAAGCTGCATTTTTTCCAGGGTAGGCGTGAAGCAGACATCACTGATACGCAAGAAGCTCACTCAGTTCTTTTCCAACCACGTATTCCTCAGAGTTTATGAGACAAAGTTTCATTTTATTCTGTATTTCTGTAGATTCTGCATGTGATGGTGAACCTTCAAAGAAACTGGAGCTGTGGAAAACAGCCTCTCTGGACCGCAACCCTCAGCTGAACCAGGCGCAGATTGTTAAAAGGTAACCAGGACGCTTTATGTGTGCATTCATCCTGGGAACAAATGACTAGAAGTATTGCATGAATAGGTTTTACATCCATATGGATCTTTATGCTTTATAGATTACAAACTAAAGTAAATATAATTTCTGAGGTGCTCATTTGAAGTGAAAAAGGGTTAAAGCGTATTAGTGATTTCTGCATGCAGAAGACGAATACCTAAACAGATCAAACACCGGCACCACTTGTTCTCAGTATAAAGAACACCTTTGCTGTGACACCAACGGCTTTTAGCTTGTGGCCTTTTAACTTGAGCATCATGAAGACATGACAAGCTATGTTTCAATAGGATGGATTGGAAGCAAAAGCTATGCAACTGTTTGAAAAATAAATAAATAAATGAATAGGACATACACATATATATCAGGTAAGAATGTCCACTTATTATGATGCTTTTTATTTTTTACAGTAACTTTGAAAAATGATAGACTCAAGTTACTCATATGCATTTGTGAGTGTATTTACTTTCTGTTTTTTTTTCTTCTTCCTTTATTTTGCACCTAAGATCTGGATCACATGATGCTGTAATAAGTAAACAGCAGCCCTCTCCTTCAACACCTCAACCTCCCTCCCCCACCAGGTAATGGTGTTAGCGCACATACTGTATACACAAATAAATAAAACCAGCACTGTAGTTTGAAGATTGGTAATGTTGGCACAGTCACTGAAGAGACCACCTGGTACTGCTATGACTAAAATAAATGCAGCATTTGTTGTGCTTCATTTCTGATGCATCAAACTTGGCAGAGCTGCAGTTGAGGGTTTTTGGAAAAGATTCAATAACATCACTGTTTACTGACTCGTTGTTATCATGCTGTTATCTACTCTCTAATTTACTCCGGCCTGGTAATAGCGATAAGAAGACTTATTGTATTTTAAAATCCATCCACGTGTTTCTTATTCTGAGAACTTAATGTTGTTCATTTTGGCCTTCCACTTTTGCAGCTGTTACTGATTAAGTTATTTTTTTCTGGTGTCATTTTTCAAAAAATAGCCCAGGCCTTAAGGAGTTAATTTGATAAAGTAGAGCTTGTATCTGAATAGCTGTCCGTTTCCCTCCTACTGTCTTTGTCTGTGTAGGTGTGTTAGTGGAAAGAGACTTTGTTCTGGTTGTTCTCAGCCTCTGGGAAAAGGAGCTGCTATGATCATCGATACGCTGGGACTGTTTTTCCACATACAGTGTTTCAAGGTATTGTTTCACTCTAATCCACATATACACATTGATTGAGAAGTCATATGCAGAAGTAGCATTTGAATTCTTTATGTGCAAAAGACCTTTTTTCGCAGCATTTTGTCTTGTCATTGCAGATAAAGCACCAGTATAAAATAATAACCCAACAATGGCTGAGTTCCATGAAACGACATTGGTCACAATGTCAGTCAGCATGCACATTTCAAAGTGCCATCTTAAGAGCTAATCTTTAACAGATTGCAGATATTGTTGCTGTTATCTGCTGTGAAAATGAGCTGTTACATACATTATAATTTTTTCAAAAGGTAGTGAATAGTAAGATAGCTGGCACACTGCAGGAGTGGAAAGCAAAATGAAAAATTCTTGAGAATTGTCATGTTGATTGTTTGTAAGATTTAGCCATTTGAACTAGTCTAAAACAATCCTTCATATGTGTAATGTTGTTCACCATATGTCTCTCCCCAGTGTGGGGTGTGTAAGGGGCAGCTGGGTGACGCCACTGCAGGGACTGATGTAAGGATCCGTAACGGACTGCTGAGCTGCCACGAGTGCTACATTGCATCTCGAGGTGAGAGCACATGCACCAAGACACACACAGACTGACACACGTATCTTGTCTTACATTAATTGTAAGAACTGGCCATTAAGTTTGTCGTGTTTCTATACTTCGTCTTGAGCAAAATCAAGAGTTTCTCAGTCATTTAAGAGGATTAAATGCATAAGCAAAACTTGATAAGTACAAGGACGACCAGCTCTTTTTTGTGTGGGGGGACTGTAAAGTAGAAGGCATATATGATATAAACAAGAAGCTTGCGGGTAAACACGGGAAACAGCATTTTCTGGTGCTTGTTTTCAGGATATCTAAAATAGTTAATGTAGTTTCACATATTTACAAGCACCATCTGTACTAATGGTTTTTGAGAACCTAAACCTGGTTAAAGTTTTTCACTATCCATTTTTGGTTACATTTTAAAGGAATGACGTGACGCAGCGGTACGCACAGATAATGGTGGAAAGAAAAATTTGAACAATCAAGAGAACAGAACTGATTAAACACTGGAGCTCTGCCTCTTTTTTTTTTTTTTTTTTACCCCAATACAAACCTGATTAATTGCTGCAGGAAGTTGGCTTGAATGGCTTCATGAAAATATATTTATGTTTGATACAGTCTGCCTTGTCTCAGCCACTAGAGGAAACATTTTCCTTCTTTCATCCATCCATCCATTATTTATACACCGCTTAATCCTCATTAGAGTCACGGGGGGGCTGGAGTCTATCCCAGCTGACTTAGGGCAAAGGCAGGGGTCGCAGGGCTACATTTAGAGACAGACAACCAAACACACTCACATTCACACCTATGGACAACTTAGAATCACCAATTAACCTCAACATGTTTTTGGACTTGTGGGAGGAAGCCGGAGACCCCAGAGAGAACCCATGCTGCACGGGGAGAACATGCAAACTCCACGCAGAAAAATCCCGGTGCCCCCAACCGGCAACCTTCTTGCTGCGAGGCCACAGTGCTACCAACTGCGCCACCTTGCAGCCCTTCCTTCTTTCAAACTATCCTAAAACTGTTCATCTGAAGCTTATATTGACCTTTGTCTACATCGTCTGGCTCGGCTCTATGTCGCAGGACTCCTCAGTGTTCTGATCCTAAAGCCTCAGTTAAAACAGTCAGTTCCTCTTAAAAGTTACACAGTCCAGGATTAAAACAAAGGGAGACCATGTTTTTACTGTTTCAGCCCCATCACTGTGCAACAGGCTCCCCCTTACTGTCAGTCAGTGCATCAGCTTATAAGCCGACCTGCACAGATGGACATTTGTAGAATATTTTAGAATTTCTTTTCTAAAGCCTTTATAATGCCTAGCTCTAACCCTTTCTCTAATCCAAACCTGTTTCCTGCATTAACTCTCGTCTGTCTTTATTTCAGGTGTCAAACAAATTGGCTCCAACAACTTTAAGATGATACAAACTCTCTCAACCTTCATGTTAAAATATTTTAAGACATTTTCCTGTGTTTGTTTGCAGGCAGGGGTCAGCCCACTACCCTATGATGCCCCTCTTTTGGAACTGGAACCTTACCACCACAGTCAGTCATTGGATGGAGAACAATTATAAAACCCTGAATCACATTATGGAACAATCCTCAAAGCTTCGGAAACTTCCTAAAATGCACAAACAGCCAGGATGGGTGTTCATGACAGAGAAACCGGACTGACATGTGGACTCAATGACACAACAACATGCACATACAGCACTATAGATGTACTTCCTAAATGTACACATGTATACACTTCGTTTTAATATGTGTAGCATGGCTGTAATCTAGAAATCAGTATGTTTAGGCCTTTGCACATCCATACAAGACACTTAAATAAGGATCTCTTCTGTTGCAAGCTAAACATGCTGTGCTAAAAGTTGAACACCGCTGTTTTTAACACATTGGTCCTCATTAGCTCCTGCTTCTGCACTGATCATGCGACTCCACTCCTTGAGTGCGATGCAAAGTGGTTTGGGTTGGATGACCTGAAGTAGCTTGACCATTATAATGCCTTACTCATACTGTCTCATTCATTTTGGATTTTGTGTTTACAGTTTTGCATGAAAAACGAACATATATAAGTTATTGTGAGTATTGCTCAGATGGATAGTGAGTTGTTATTTTTTCAACGGTGGAACTTTAACTGTTCTCTTGTATGTTGTACATCATTATGATCATTTTGAATTTTTTTTGGAAATCTGGCTAACTTACACAAGCTTTTTCTTTATAATTCATTTTACAGGAATGAGAATGCATGTTATTGAGTAATAATACTTGTTCTTTGGATTTTTAAGATTTTCCCTTTAGGATGTTTTAGCCATTGTTTCTTCTCATAGACTGACTACATCTGAATCGGTGCCTTATGTAATGAATGCGAGGGCGAGTGTACAGGATGTGCAGGAGTATTTCACACTCACACTGACCTCTGGGTCTACGCACATTGTTTGTTTGTGTGTGTGTGTGTGTGTGTGTGTCATGAGTGTGTGCATCTATAGGTATGAATGCAGTGTGTGATCTGACTTGAAGCACAGTTCCATACCAGCAAAAACAAATGTTAAATGGATCAGCCTCTCCTAATCCCCTGCTGTCCTCTTCCACTTCCTTCATTGAACAAAACCAATGACACAAAGTTATTTGCTGCTTCCCTGTTCATCGTTCCCCCATTTTACGACAGTTTGCAATGTCCTAAAGTCTCTCCTCGTCTGCCTCTATCACAAGTGTTGCCTCCCCAGAGTCTGAGCTGAACTCCTTCCTCCTCTCTGTCTCACTTCTATCTGGACACCTGACAGCATCATCATCATCACTCAGAGGAACACAGCTCAGTTTGTTGTCTTTTATAGCAACTGTATGTTTATCAATAAAATATTTTAAATGGGATGTTGCCAGTTCTCGTTTGGGATTACTTTAATTAACCCAGTGGAACTAAAGTTTGCTGTTGAGTGGATGAATATATTGTGACTTTACAGAAAATGTCTGTGGTTAAACCAACAATGAAACAGTGTCAGAAGAAATTCTATTCATAGTGTTTCTGCCAAAATGTACAAATGTTTGTGTTGTAGAAAATAGCACAACATTGTATAAGGTTATAAGTTTGTTTTTTTCCCCTGATGTCATAATTATGATCAAAGAATTTATAGCATAATCAAACACATTTATACGGAGCTCCTAAAGGGACATTGGCAGATTTTTATTTTTTATTTTTTTAATGTAGTTTTTCTCATGAGCACGAGATCATTCCCTGTTTCTACACACTGCAGGCGCGCACAATAGACCAGCAGTTCATCTCTGTGTGCTTATCTGAAAATAACAATACAGGATTTAGTTGACCTTTACTTCAATCTTGGACTCGGTTATAAGGATATTCCAGCACTACTTGCACATTGTCACCATTATATTCTCTCGGAATGACATTTAAAATGGATTTTAAAGTCTTGCAGTCTGGTGGAAAGGATACAGCTGTCTCCACCAGGTAGTAACTTTCATTCATGAACAATTACAAACTTCCTACACGGATACAGGTGGATGTACACAAAATGCAAGGAAAATAGATTACACGTCTCAGCTTCTTACATTTGAATATTTTCTAGTTTACTGATCACTGAGCAAGTTGTTGCTGCACTATTTGACTGCTCATGATGTTTAATTTCAGTAAATTTAAACTGGCTAATTTCATGACTATTTAAGGTGAGGGGGGGCCGAAAGATTTTTGTCCTCCGAAGGGTGGTCGAACAGAAAAAGTTTGACAACCACTGGTTTAGATGATTAAACTCATAGTTGTAGGTATGCTTACATTGGAATGTTTACTACCATGACAAACATCATTTTGCAAAATCTATTACAGTAGAACAAAACTGTCAAAATACTTAAAAAGACTACAATGAGGCTAAAAGTAAGACTAAAACTAGAATTAATTTCCCTGCACTAAATTTTAACTAAAACTAAATAAAACTAAAAGACTAAAATATATTAATGTTTCATTAAATTGCTTATTTTTTGTGTAGTAGAACTTATTCAACAATGAATGTACACACAAAGAATTGTATAAATAAGACAAACAATTTGACATACATGTGCTCATAATGATAAATGTATTTTGACAATTTTAAATTCTATCTTATTTAAAACACACACACACAAAGGGGACAATAGGATGGGCGTCATTGTTCTTTTTGGAACAGTTAAAAAAAAAACTTTAACAGTTTTATTGCTTTTTTTGTTTCTATATTATTTAGTGTTTTGATATGTTCTTCAAAGTCAATAGATAATTTAACTAAATTTGGTTTTACATTTGCCAATCTACATTTGTGAATTTGAAATTTGTGATCAAACTACGTTATGACACTTTTACAGTCAATTTTAGCATCAGTTTTAGTTTTACACTATATATAGTTCTTTATTTGACTCCAGGTCCTTTGGAGGTAGGAACCACAGTTCAGCGGCGGACGGCGTCAGAAAGAGGGTGGAACCGGAAGTTCACCTGCGAGCTGCTACAGAGAGAATGTAAGCTGATGTTGTTTTTTGTTGTTTCACCTGCTTTTTAAAAACGGCAAACATCGAGGCAGATGGACTCGAAAGGACCGTCGCTTTATGCAGTATGTACCTGTCATTTATCGCCAACTGGCTGCTGCCTCAGCGGCGCTTTGTTCCATTGACGCTGTCTAGCTGTTAGCCTGGGAGCTAGCTGGAGCTAAAAACATCAAGATGTGACGCTGATTAGGAGTCTGCTCGTGTCATGCAGCAAGTTATCTTTGACAAATGATCAGATTAGCCGCATGCTAGCCTTACACAGCGCTACCGTGGACTGTGACCTCCGCTTGTGGTCAGTTATGTCGTAGTTTTTCGGCTGTTTTATGTGTTCAAAGTAATCTCGGCTGTTTGTTAAATGTTTGTTTTTCAGCTCATTAGCATACATGGCTATCTAACAGACACCGACTGTTTTGCTCTGCTTTGTCCATAAATCTATTTCAGTCGGTTCCTTGTTTTTATTTATGGTGTGTCTCATTAGTCATCCCTGAAATGTGGTGACACATTATGCTTTGGTCTGAAATACACGCCAAGTTTTAAGATATAGAGTTTTAGAAATAATTATTCGACCATCTATTGCTCATTTCACCAAGCCTACACTGAAGGCCTTCAACACCTGTAGTTTTGTTTGTATGTTATGATTGTTATTAAATTGCTGCATGTGCTAAAAGACATGGAAAAAGTCTCATAACAATTTATTATGTACAATAAAGTAAGTAGTGAAATTGAGTAATTGAGACAAATAAATTATAAATTTTTACTAGATTACCTTTTTTGAGTCATGATTATTCAGCATAAGCTGTAAATGTACATTGAACAGATAATCCATACTAAATTATCTCGCAACAATGTTCTAAATTCAGCCATCTTGGTGCTTTAACAAACAGGGATACAGTGAGAGAGCCTTTGATTACCAGCGTTAAATCAGCAAAACAGCTGAAGAAGACAATGCAGAATGGCTCCACCAAGAATCAGGAAGTAGGAGGCAGTAAACAGTGCTTGCAGTCGTCTAATAATCATTTCCAAAGCTGTATTTCTGTATGACTGCATCTGTATGTGAGGGGACTGTATAATATGTGAGATGATGTAAAACTTTATTCTTCCCTTCAAGAAAATGTATTATTACAAAAACACTAGACAGGTATGTTAAAACAGGTCGCAATAAAGGGGGGAGGGGGGTCACGCATACCTTACCCTAAATTAACTTATATGAATAAGATTTATTGACAGACGTAATACTACAATTATGTGTTCATTTCAGCAGGCAGGCCCCTCGATAGATATGACTCGGAGCATGGAGGAAGACTCTTTGGTGGATGGGCCGCTGATTTCTGCTGATGCCCTCCACTCTGCCATCAGGAGAGAGTTTCAGCCTGTGCCAACACATTTCCATGCCGGCTTGCTGTCCGTACTACATGTATGATACACAACGTTTACACACACATGCTGTGTTTATAGAAAGAACAACTGAATTTAAAGAAAAACTGCTAAAAACACAATTTAAACTGACTAATGGTGATTATTCTTATTATAATTTGATATCATGATACCAGTTCTTGTTATTGTATTGTATTGTAGCACTGCCACAAATATCTTGAATGGTGACGCGTTTAATTGATTAATTAGAGAATGAATTCCTGAACGAGTTTTTAAAGATAAATGTCAGACATTTGCTTGTTCCAGCTTCTCCAGTGTAAGAAATTGCTACTTTCGTCAGGTTTTTATCATTGTGAACTAAATATCTTTGGGCTTTGGCCTGCTGACTGGACAAAACAAAATACTTAAAGGTGTCAACTTTCTCACAAAAAAGAAAAAATTATAAGGTAACAACACAGCATGGAGTGAGCTGTGCTTAGTTTCTTTTTGTCAAACTGTGGCAGGAAGTCCTCTTTCATATAAATCATGGTAAAAACACAAACGTCTCCCTCTCACTCACACCTGAACTGTCACAAGAGTCTCTAAAAACCGAGGAGACACGTACAGTACATCGCATAGCCTGCATGCAAACAGATATACATATATGGAAATACACAAAAACAATAACCTCTTGATGTGGAATGATGGATCTGGAATCATAGGTTCATATAAAAATCTAAAATTAAAAGTAAAACCAAAAGAAGTGTCATCTGAATTGGTGAGAAAAACAATAGTCTCTATTGCTCTGGTGAGCAAGACTGCGGCTGTTTTTTTTATTTTCTAAGAATAAACAGGTGAAACAACAAGCCAATGTGGTGTCATGACAGTCCCTGTTAGGATTATCTGACTTATGGAGCAGATGTAGATGCATTTGTCTCGTCTGTCCTGTTAACCTGCTAATTCACAGGAACCTTTGTATTTTCTGACTCCTGTAATAGTCAAGTGTTGGTCTGTGCTTAAGTCACTGGTTACATCTGTCTCACTTCCTCTGCTTTCTTCCTCTTTTAAGGTTTTGTACGTTGTGTTGTCCATATGCCTGGGAGTGCTGTGTGTGTTGAAATTTGGCCAAGAGGATGTGTGTATGAAAATTCTGGGCAACGTGAAAGGCGACAGCGTCATCGTGTTTGCAAAGGTGGCTCTGTGGGCGCTGGTGGTGCTGTTCACTGTCTGTGTACGCCGCCACCACAATCGAGTCCGGAGCAGAGGATACCTGCGATTCTACAGACAGACACAGGACCTGAGATACCTGCCGCTCACCATTCACTCTACAGGTACAACTGCACACATGTTTTTTTTTTAAATCCATCTTTTGCACAGTCTAATTTTTCACACTTGGTACTTATTGATTTATCTTGTTTTTATTTTATATTGTCTATTTTGTTTTAGATTTTATGTGTGCCTTCAGTGTTGGGTGTCTTGTGTGGTTGTCTGTGTTTTTCTTTTAGTGTAGCTGCTGTAACAAGTAATTTCCTGTGAAAGGATCGTTAAAGTAACTAGCCTATCCTGTGCTGTCAGGGTCCTACAAATCAAGTTACGACTCAAGTGCAGGTCAGTGTCGTCCACAAGGTGGCAGCAGAGCCAAAGCATCAACATGTTTTTGTATTTCTGTGTGTGACTAGGAAGTGTTGCGCTGCTGGCTCTTCTGGCTGCAAGATTATCTCAGACTGTTCACACCTACATGATGCTCAGCGTTCTGGGGTTGGAGCTCCTGGTGACGGTGCCATCCCTTATCTATTACACAGGTAAACTGATCTCAGTTATCCCGTTTTATGATGAGTGAGACTGTCTCACACTGGGATGGAAGATTGATTCTTTTGTAAGACTGCAGACCTCCAGGACGTTTAAAACCATAATTAAGGAATTTTTTATAGTTCTGAATTTTCGTAAGATTGGTTGAGAAGCAACAGTGATGACAACCTTTTTGAAAAGTTCAGTGATTTTAAACTATATGCTCTTGGAGCAGCTGCACGAAAAAGTCAAAATGCTCTGGGGAAAAAAACCTGGATGCTTTTCTCTTGGCAGCTGCTTACACTCCTCATTGGAAACAACTGAAAAAAGATGCAGGCCCTCAGAAAAATACCCTACGTACTCAGTGGAAACCTAGCTTTACTGAGCAGCAATAGAAATATATCAGCAGTTAAAACGTAGCAGTGAATGCATCGTTTTTTCTCAGTAAGGAATGAAGACATTGATTTCTGCATCTGCATTTTAAAGAAGGAGTATTTCTCCTAATTAATAACTGTTTGCTAAAAGGCAGCCATGCGGCAAACCTACGCTAATGAAGTCTGTGTTGACTTCATTCTCTTCATGCCTTTAACAGATGAAAGAGGTTTGAGCAAAACTGAAGCTCGTGCACATGTGATGAACTTTGTTCTAGTCAATTTACATGTAGTAGTTTATCAGCTGACTATGTTTTTGTTCCATTGTTGCAGCCTCACTGGTGCTCATTCAGGCTTCTTGTGGGTGTAATATCAGCTGTTTTATATGGAGAGACACACCCTGTAGATTACATTACACACAAACACACACTCTACCCCCACTCTCTATCTGAGAAGCATTTGCATCACAAACCCTGCCCTGCCCTTTTCAGACTCGACAGCATGACAATCAACCTTTCAGCTCTCTGTCCACCCATTCCTGCGTCTCCCTCTCTCTGCTGATTCTTGACTTCTGATACAAACACCATGCAAACTTTGGTGGGTGATGCTCATGTCCATCTGTGTATGCAGTCCCTGTTGTCTCTGTTGCTCGGAGCTCGAGAAGTTACATTTAGCTTAAGTTCATACACTTTGATCCAGTGGTTGCACTGCGTAGTTGAAAATGACATGGGTTATCAGGACAAAAATCATTGTTTTGTAAGGTTGCTCGTGGTATAAAATCTATATTGTAGCCCCTTTCTTATTTTACAGTTGAAGTCATAGCATTAGGGATAATGTGAGCAGCCAGTCAGACTGTGTCATCATCCGTTGGGGTCGGACAAATTAGAAGTCGCCGCTGTGTTTGAAGGGTTTTGGCAGAACATACCTTTTTTTGACTCAGATTTATTTATATTATTTATCTTTTCTTTGTATGTTTGATAAATAATGGATCCTTTTGATGATTGATGTTTTTACTTATTTATTTCACCCCCCAAAATTGAAAAAAACCCTTCAGTCATCATGTACAGCATTTGCCATAGATATATATATAATAAAGGCTAGATGTCTTGTCCGCGCTGTGACAATGGAATCGCACGGCCACACTGGCGGCCATTTTGACACGGTACGCTCACTCACCCACAACATTGTGTTGTGGTGGTGCATGTACTTTTTAAGTAACCATAACTTGCTCAATTTTCTACCGATTTTCAAATGGTTTGGTTTTGTTATAAATGTCAGCAGTGTAGTTATAACACTGCACTTATGGATAATTATGTTACACTTTCAAGGCCAGCAACAATTAGTATTTTAATTATTTTATATTTTTTTTGTGTAATTTGAATTGTAGCCACGTTAATAACGTTTGTAAGAAACCAAACCATTTGTAAATCTGTCAAGATTTCAGCGAGATAAGAGTATTTACGTTTGTGCACATCACTCACCTTCCTTCACGTACCACGGGTTCCGCCAGAGAGCTTCCCCTTGGCAAGATGGCCGAAGGGTGAGCCCGTTCGAACGCCGCCTTAATACATCTAGCCTTTATTATATGTATCTATGGCCTTTGCTGTGCCCACAGACAGATGTTTCCCACGTGTAAAAAATGGTGGCCCTACATACAATCGAAATGAGCTACTGAGTTTTTGTTTGTTTTTTGCTTTCATCCATGTCTCCTATTGGCTCTGTGTAAACAAAGCCTACAGTTCAGACAAAGAAAAACAACACCCTGAATTGTATCACCTGACTGTGAGCCAACATTTTATTGTTGGAGAACTTTTAAGTGAGACATGTACAATAAAGTAAATTTGATGAAATTGGATTTGGATGATTTCTCAGGGAATAGTGCGTCACAGATACAGACTAATTCAAAGACAATAGGAAAGTTCAAAATCTGACAAATCCTTCCGTCTTTGTTTATTTTTTCCTCTTGCTGTTTGTCTGTTTCTTTGACAAACTGTGCAATTTTCAATCTATTTTCAGAAGATAACCTGCCTTTTAAAACCACTGGCGGGTTTTGGGGTTTAGAGGGTTAAGCTCTGTCCACTTTAACATCAGTGAATATGTTTTGGGGCAATCTAAGAGGCAAAGTGTTTCATAGTTGGAAACTTAACCCTCCAAGCAACAAAATGTGTGACAAACTTGACTCTTTGTTTGTTTTTGTTTTTAATTTTGGACAACAGTTGTTCAACATTAAAAAAAAAAGTCATGACATATTTTTACATTGATCAACGGTAAAGAACAAACATTTGGTAGAGGCCAACACACGAATCTTCCTGTCGGTGCGTAAAGGAAAGCTGCTGTTAAAGATGCCCAATCAGAGGATATTGATATTGCAGAATCTTCACTGAAAGGAAATCCATATTAAAGGTGTGTTTGGCTGCTGAGGGGCACAGATGTCAGATCGAGATACCAGTGAGCCAAGCGGAGAAGATAAGACGCTTTAGGATTTAGCCTAGCCAAGGGGTAGCCCTCGGCCCCCTCCGCCAGGGAGACACACACATTGTCCCTGTGTTTACAGTGCCGGTGATCCAGGCGGCGACGGGGGTATCACTGTTCGCCCGTCGCATTCCTGCTCAGATCAGTGCAGTCAGGCACGACACAAACCGAGCGACGCCTCGCAGCGCAAACCAAGCACAAGCACACACACTTTGATCGATGCGGAGTAAAGGTGACATAAGTGAGATCAGGGAAACAAAATGAAAAGTCTCTTTTTAGAGGAGACACAAGAGGCAGAGATATAAAGCCTGCAGCTATGAAGTCCATACAGGAAGGCCTCGTTCAGCTCTTCTTTGAAGTGCGTGCCGATTGTGAGTGCGTGTGTGTGTGTCTGTGTGTCTTTGAGGTTTTCTGTATGTTTCTGCCTTTCTCATTTTAACATGAATACACTCTCCCCTATAGACCTCCATGCACATCAAAGCCGTGCCGCGGCCTTCAAAGGCTAAACCTAGAATACATCTCTCTTTTCTGGCTGACCAGAACTTAGTGTAAGCACTGCAGGGCACAGGGTTAACACACACACACACACACACACACACACACACACCATCTACTGTAAGACGGGGCGAAGTTTAAAGAAATGCTGATTTCACGTTTGAAGATTTAAACCATATTGCTGATCATAAATACGTTGTTGTCGTCATTTACACTTTCTTCATGCCCATTGTTGCAGTCACTGAGTGGAAGGGGAATATCGCAAGTATCACAGCAGTATCTTAATATTAATATATGAATAATTACCATTGAGAGCAAGCGCTCACTCCATTTATTTAGACATGACATCTGTAAATAGTAACAGTATTTTAATAAGACAGTTTTGTAGCAGCATACATACAGGTGGCTGATAGGACATTATATAAATGTATTTATTGAATCTATAGTCAATACATATAACTACACCAGAATGATAAATCTGAACATCTTGGGCGGTTAGCTTGCATTAAAAATTGCTTCTGCTGCTGCTGCTGTTGTGTTATTTTCACACCGAAGAGTGAAAAAATAGCTAGTGTCATTTACCTTTACTTCTGATGCAGCATGAAAGAAACACTAAGAACACAGCGCTAGCAACGACGTGGTTTCCCATTTTCAGATTTGTTTTCGTTATTTGTGATTACCCTTGACTGCATCCACACGATATTTTCATTTTATATTACATACCTGTGATTGCAACGTTTGCGGTTAGTTTCCACATGACTCCAGCTTTTTAGGAGCCATTAAGCAGACTTCTGGCAACATTGCAGACACTATTTTAGATTGGTGGAAAACACAGACTTATGGAAACAATGACACCCATACTCACTATCTAACTGGGTTTGAACTATCATTATGTGTTGTTCCCTGATTTATCACAGTCCTATTGCGTGACTTTTTTTCCATCAGCCTTGACTAGCAGTGGTTAATTCAACATCATTACTGACTGTGTTGTCTATGCCAGCAGATGTTGCGCAGTTAAAGAAATCTGTGGTCTTACTTTTAGTCATTGCAGTTCTTCTTCTGTACCTTTCTCAACACAGAAGCAACCAACCCCCTCCTTGGTGTTTATACTGGTAATTGCGTGCCGAGTGCACATGAATGGTCATGTGATAGGCATTTAGATGCTTTAGTATGCACTGAGATTATTTCAGAATTTTCTGAAACTGAGCTGAAACTCTTGTCTGGACAGAGATCATCGTATTAGTGGGAATGGGGACTTGGAAAACTTGCTCCCAAGGAAAATACGCTACTGACTTATGCGCTAAAACTAAGCAATAACTGTAAGTTCACTGACTTTGTGAAACTATGGTTAGGAACCTGCAACCACCTTGCCACAGCTATTGTAGAAAAATGGAAATAAAATCGAATAATACCAAAGATACATGTTGTGGTATCAAATATGAAACAAAGCCAAAAACAAGTTATCTGAAAGTTGTTTTTTTTCTGCAGCCTGAAAGTGTACAAAATACTTAAACCGTACCTGTTTGTGATTTTCTTAGCTTTGCATCCACAGAGAATTTTGAGGTGCAGACGATACTGTATATTCATTACTTACAATAAGGACCTTTTAAAGTCTGTATACTTGTTTTCTAAATGTTTTGCTTTCTTTTACACATTGCTGTTAAGTCTGAGCTCAATCTTCTCCTTGACCCAAGCTCTCAAACCTTTTCCCACTTCCACAGTTTGATGAGCAGGCTTTATTTTTCCACTAGACTGTAGACTTGCATACTACTTTACAATCCTTTCATAGCGGAAATTGCACCTAAAAGGTCACTCAGCAAGCTGTTCTCCTTCGTCTATCGGTGGCCTATTCAGAACCAAGTATCGGTCTCTGTGCTTGCTGGGGTCAATTTCCTTCCAGTTCTTTGATTGCAGTGCAAGCAGTGGAAAGTTGTTGAGCCCTATATGTGATCCCATTAACTGTTAGCACCTCTGCAGCTCTGCTGTTATCACCTGGAAATGTGCACTTCTGGATGAGTGATTGAAGCCTCTCAGATGTGAGCAGACCTGGTCTGAGCTGTGTCTGTGCAGCCGCGTGAGAGTCTCTAACAGCAACGTGTGAAATGTGTCGCTTCCTTTACACTGCTCCCCTCTCCTTACATCCATCCGTCCATCTATCCAGCCATCCATCCTGGTGTGTCTATCTGCTTTTATCTCTGCTATATTACACTCAACTCCACAGACTTACAAAACCTTCTCACTGATCACATGTACACAGTTATAACAAGCAGCATTCAGTGTGTTGCATATACCTGCACCGCTGACTTGGTGGAATTATTGTTGACACCAGAGTAACCTTACTTACAGTAACTTATGTTGAGAAGTTGATCTTGCAAATTACTGTTGGGATTTTCAATTAATTAAAACAGTAGACATACCAAGAACAAACAATGGCAGAAACAGAGAAGTCCAGTCAAACATACACAGGCTTTTATTAACCCAGACATCTGATGTAATATTCTACATAACCAGGTCTATCAACATAATTAGAAATAAACAAGTTATATGAAAGAGAAACACTAAGTTCTAATCGTCACATAGTAGAGCTAAAGGGCATTATTTTGTGGAAGTCTTTGTTGTGATAGTTACTGCTGAATATCTAAAAAAAAATACATAAAGCAATGTAAGTTATACAAGTTATTGATATACTTAGTTGCTCGCAGCTATAATAAAAATTTGCCAGAAGCTTTTGAATATCGGCATTCCTGCTACAAAAAAGAAAAATAAAAGTCAAAGTTTTAACAATATTTAGAAATGTATTGTTGTTCAAGGATGTAATTACAGTAACTTTATAGCAAACTTTCCTAATCCACTGAGTCACAGATGCATAAAATATTGCTTGAGACAGCTTCATATATTAATTCATTCCTACTTCTTTTCCCTTTTTGTTTTGTTTTTTTGTTCAAGGTACAAAAGGAACACGTGTTATAAATTGTGAATGTCTAATTGTGACTCTCGAATTTATTTATTTATTTTGCTAATACAGTATTTTCAAATGTCATTTTTTTAATGCAGTGTTTGTTTCTTTAAAAGTCAAATTACTGGAGAAAACTGGTCTGAAAATAAATGTTCAAAAATGCTCAATACAAGAAATTCTAAGATATCTTCTGTAATCTCTGCACCATTAAAAGTAAGACATTTGAAGTATAAAAAGCTGGGAATTGTTGTGTCTTACCATGTTGGCATTAATTGTAAAGATTTGACAGTAACTTGCTGCTCTGCTTCATCATCTTCTACAACTAACAGCCTGCAAACAAAGGCTCCTCATCCCTTTTTGTCTTTTTACCTTCTGTTCTTCTCTTCGCCACTTGATTTCTGTCTTTCAGGAATGTCTCTCTCTCACACATACTTGCTTGCTGTTGCTTTATTTACACACACGCACACACACACACACACACACACACACACACTCAGATTTACGGCCTCATTATGCAGGAATGTGCAGTATTTCTATGGACTGTGTGTGAGTGTGGATGCTGAGATGCTGCACTGTAGCAAAGTAAAGATAGCGCTCTTTAGAACCTCCCTGACAATTTCCTCTGGCTAATGACACTCCAGTCTTATCAATACTCGGCCAGCTCCTCCCTGCTGCCCTTCCTCACACACTCGCCCGGCGTCCACACACCGTGGCCTTATCTCTGGTCCAGCAGCTCCAAACTGTGGCCGCTGTAACTGCTCGCCGTGCCCACCGCGGCCACACCTCACTGCTAGCTCCACCCCATGTGTAAAGGTGTATGTTTAGGGTGTGAGAATTAGAGGTTTGAGTGCAGGATATGGCAGCCCATAAGGGCTAAGTGCAGGATATAACAGCCTGTGTGTGTTTAGGAGAGGGAGAGGGATGGAAAACAATAAAAAAAGCAAATGTGTGCAGTTTCTCACCTGAGTGATTAACATCGGTAGAAAGCTCGATAATGTCTGCGGGTCTTTACGTGCAGCCGACAACCTGAAACTTTGATGATTCTGTCAGAGAACTAACGGAAGATGTGTCTGTTTGTGTTTCTAGTCAAGGTGATGCAGTTCAACGGAGAGCGAGCTGCACCAGATGTGAGCCAGGAAGAGATTTCACACACCTACAGCGTCTCGAGCCAACCGACCGAGACCGGCTTCAGGTAGGCAAAAGCACGTGTGAACAAGTGTCAGATTTATGTTGCCTCTGAACTGAATGACGTCACTTTGACATAAGGGCTTCTGCAGCATGAAGTGAAGTAACTAAAGAGACAAGTGTCGGTTAAGATCTCACTTCCTGAGAGGACTGTTTTACATTTGCCATTTAAAAGTGGAGTCTGTAACTCTGGAGGAAGATTGTTGGGCTTTAGCTGATCCACACACACACACACACACACACACACACACACAACAGACAGCTAGCAGACCGTGCGAGGATATTCACCGGCTTTGACAAAAAGTGTATTACATTAGAATCAGTGACTTTACTTTTAATTATTCTCTCTAATGCACCAAAAAAAGTCAGCTCAGTAAACCATTAATTACTTGAAATGAGCCACTTATAACACTGAGCGTTCAGTGATGTGGGACTGATGGGGGGGGGGGGAACGTGTCAGAACACAACAGAAACACTGTGCTGACATCCAGCAAAAGGTTTAATACGCGCAGCATAAACCCGACACTGCTGAGCTGTAGAAAAAGGCAGCAAAATCCCACATATAGCTACATTCAATTAAAGGTGCGACTGACGGCAATCTGTCGGGGGATTCGGTGGTGAGAAGTGAGGTCGACAACCTTCGTGCGCTGTACACTGCGAAAATACAATTTAGAAATCCCTCACTGTTGCATCCTGTGAGACAGAATTTAGATGTCTTTATGCCACTGTACTTCAGATGCATCACAGCTCCCTCTTGTTTAGCAGCACCAAATATTGTAGTTCTGCTCACAATGGTGCTGTCATGTTTGAATGTAGCCATTATGATGTAACGGACGGCTATGTTTGGAGGCAACAAAAGCACTTAGTTAACCAAAGATTGGCTATATGCAATGTTTGAAGGAACTGCTGTTTTTTGTAAAGACCTCCACGCAAGTGTGATTGTTGGGTCTTATTTTGAAGAGTGAAATAAGCAGTTGGCATAATAGCTGAGCATTTTTACCTTCAAACTGCAGTGTAATGATGACAGTCTCCAAAACACAGATTCAGACTTCTGAGGATTCATATTTGACAAACTTAAGGAACCAATCCTGTCAACTTGCAGTGTGGGACTTTCTGTATCATTGTTCTTCAGAATAGATTTCTGGTTTAAACGTGTATGGCTGAATTACTCCAACATTACAATTTGCCGTTACGTAGTGTAGAGTAGTTTAAACAGGACTGTAGAGGAGCTGATGTTTTTGAGCTGCTCCGGCAGCAGAACACTGCCTGGAAAAAGAGACTTTGTAGGTCTGTACGTTCTAAACTTTAAGGCAGGAAGGGATTATTTTCATGGGAAAACCTGATTTTGATTTTGAAGTATTTGATTCACGACCAGAGTATGACGGTGTATGTGGGATTACTATATCCCCCACTCGCTGCAACTCGAGCACATCGGCTCACCTCTGGCTTTTTAAACTTTTGAAGCTACTCGACACAATGGCAGGTTGTAATACTGGAATAATTCTGCCACATGTTCATGCTGAAGACCAAGAGTGATGATACAGAAGGTCCCGCCTTGCAAGTTGACAGGATTGGTTTCTTAAGTTGGTTATATATGAAACCCAGGAAGTCTATGTTTTAGAGATTCTCCGTCGCAATCTGCAGTTTAAGGTGGAAATCCTCCGCCATTGTGTCGACTACCTACTCAGCTCACGGTGTGTCATCCAGCATATAAAAAACACAGTATAGACAAGCTAAGAAGGTGAAAACTTGATTTTCATTGCAGAGTGTCTTTAAGTTACTCTCAGCCAGTAGTGTTACAGATTCCAAATGTTAAAATGCTTATGTGCTGTTATTTGTGTCACAGAGGAGGCTCCAGCCTGGAGGAGGTGGTGGAGAAGCAGGCCGACCTGATAGAATACCTGAAGCAGCACAACACCTTACTGAGCAAGAGGCTGCTCAACCTGGCCGCTGAGCACTAACCACCGTCAGGCCTCCTCCTCCCCGAGAACCAGCCGACGACACCCTGGAGCCTGAACATTTTACCGCTCCGAGTGAAAAATCTGCGCCTTTAAAAGAGAGGACCGACACTGTAAGAAACACTGGATGAGAGACTCAAATAAGCGAATGCACCTGTACGCACAGGCTGAGACGGGAGGGCTCCTCTGTGAGGCTTCCTCACCGGAGATGGACAGATAAGGCAGGAGGAGGTGAACCGAGAGCAGAGGGCAGTTAAAAAAGCAAAGTGGGAGGCGGAGAGGAGGAGTCATGGGTCACAGATCAGAGGTGAGGGGTTTTTATCACTGGGTTACGACCCTCGGTGACCCACGTTTGCTGCCGCTTTTGTTACTGCGAGAGACACAGAACAGTAAAATTGTTTTAGAGATCATGTGCACTAAGGAGGGAGAGGTTTATCACGTATCCGGGTCAAACAAGAAAGAAGAGAGGTTAAACAAAAAGAGAAAAATGCTGTACAAAGTTTGTTAAATGCAATTTTATCTGTGAGAATGCGTTTGTGTCAATGATTTATCAACGTTCCAATAATGAGTTTGTGTATTTGTGATTCCAATAAATCTTTGCTATTCTTATGTTTGGTTTATTTAAGTAAGGTTTGGAGGATGAGTTGTCAAAATACCCAAACAAAGGGCGGGTTTGTCTTGTATAATGTGCTGGAGGAGCTAAAGGAAGGAGCTCACACAATGGAAACAGCGCAATGTCAACGTTAGCTGGTGTGAATGTTTTCTTCCCGCCTCACCTTCTCCGTGTTAAATTTCAACAGTCGCGGGAGTCTACGTTAACGAAACATCGATATCGTCATTTGAGCCCCTGGCGTTTGTCCCCCCATTGTGATTCCTTTATGCTCGGGCGTCCGTAACTCCGCGGGGAGCTTGGCTTTTACGACTCCTTTCCCATGTGGTTCAACCGAGAGGCCGGAGTGAACAGGAGGCCTGCAGGTATCAGGGTCCCTGTTTGGTCTGAGGGAAGTTTTTTTTTTAATTGTTTCTTACTAAAAATACTACAAATTTCAATAAAGTCTGGCTCAAAACTGGGCTCTTGAGTTGCCTCTCATTTTACCACAAACACAATCTCAAAAAAACCCAAACTGCACATTTATACATGTTTTATTAAAAAGTTTACAATGTAACTCAAACATTTGAAGTGCATACAAGCATTATCAACACTTTATAGGAACACTATGAAAACATTTCCAGCTCTTTGGTTCGTAGCTATTAGATGGAATATTAAACATATTTGAAGATAAATGTCGCTTCCTTTTTTTCTTGAAATTAGAAGAAGGTGAGAAGGTGCTTGCAGCTGGCCAAGCAATTGATCTATGACCGCTGGGCCGCTGTAACATTTCACGGTTTGTATTTTGTTTTGAATGCAGAGGCGGTCACCCACAACCTTCAGCTGGATCTGACCGAGCAGATACTTGTATGCAGGATGTGTCGGAGCAGCTGCATATACATGACAGTCTTTGGTTGGCATTTTCGAGGTGTCCCATATTTTTCTTTCCATCCTGTGTCTTTGCTGCTGGGATCCATTCACGATGCCACGCACTTCTCTCCTTAGGTCACCCTCATAGCCGTGCTGCACTGACCTGTAACAGAAAAACAGCGTTTAACGTCCTGCTCAGAAACAATTAAACTGCTTTGAGGAACAGGAGTCACCTGCAGCCCCCCTCCACCTCCCTGTCCAAACACTCCTCATGGCACTAAAGCCTCCCTGTTCACCGTTAGTGAGATTTATGTGCCAGAGTTTCCCCCCTGTGCACCCTTGTTCGCCTGCCTCAACACTCACCTCTGCCACTAATCACAGCCACCATCTTAACTGCCACCTGCCTGCTCTGTGACCCGGTTTGGCCCGGCTCGGCTCATAACCCTCCTGTTACGCAGAAACACATGTATGAGTGCGCACGTCTTACCTCAGGGGAAGGGTACTCTGGAGTGCAGGGGCAGGCAGCGTCTGTACAGGCAGTGGTGTTTGTGGTATTTTCTCCTCAGGTTCAAAAAATCTGAAATAAAGACACGTTCTGGTTGTTAGGTGGAACCACTGGATCAACAGAGTGCATATATTATAAGTCAGTTAAGCCGGGCTGCTTTCAGGGAAATGAACTGCTTGTTAATGTTGGTTTAAAAGTCCTTTTAAGCAAGATTTATGTGTGCAGGTGCACTCTGCAGATCACCTGACAGGCCTAATTGATCCCAAATGGAGGAGAGGCTTTACAGAGGCACCAAAAAAAAAGGGCAAAAGTATCTCCTCCAGAAGTTTATTTAGAAGCTGACAAACCCCATCATGGCTCAGCCTAACCTCCTCTGACAGCTTCCATATCTGTTTTTATTATTAGGAGCCATTTCCAAACAGCTGGGGCAGAGCAGGACATACAGACCTAACACATGATTACTTTTAAATGTCCCTAATAAATCCACTTTGGTTCACAGGCCGCCAGCCAAACCCAGGAAGAGATAAAGTGCCAGATGACTTTATGACTCCCTCCTCCTCCTCCTCCCCTCCGAGAGAAGCAGCTCCCCACGCCTGAAGGTAGGTCTCTTTACACTTGGCACTGCTACTCCATGTCATGTTAATAAAGCTCACTATTTGCATGGCGTTTTAACACCGCGATTAACAAAAGCGCGCTAGAGCGCCTTCCAGCCGGGGACAAAGCCTCCGACTGGGGCCGCTGTGCGATCCCCGGCGGCGCTCCGCTGCCGTCCCTCCTCCCTCTCCTCTTCCTCCCTCTCCTCTTCCCCCCTCCTCCTCCCTCCATCCTCTCTCTCCTCTCCATCACCGCGTGAACCGATCATCACGTCCCCAAGCACCAAAGCCTCCCCCTTTAACAACAGCTGTTTGGGCTGCAGATAACCGCAAAGTAACCGCAAAAAAAAAATAAAAAAAAAAAAAAAAATAAAGCCACCTGTTGTAAAAAAAAAAAAAAAAAAGAAAAGAAAGAAAGAAAAAGAAAAAGAAAAGAAAAGAAAAGAAAAAAAATTCAGGAAAAAAAAAAGAAAAAACGGTTAAAAAAAAAAAAAGTGCCAGAAAGAATAAAAACAGTGGGAAATTGTAAAGTTCACAAACTGCATAAAAACCAACTGGCAAACATCTGTAAACGTTTTTTTGATCCTCCTCCTTCTATTTCTTCTTCTTTTTATTTTTTTATTTTTCCCCCCAATTTAAAAACAGTACAACAGCATAATTTTGTGGTCACATGGTACAAGAATTAAAAATACAGATTTTGGTGTGGACATTTTGGCCTATTGTCTTCTTTTTTTCATTTAACATGTAAATTAATACATTTAAAAAAAAAAAAATCTATTATCTGTACCTTAGCAAAACACAGAAAACAGTAAAATAGCAATCCAAACATTTATTTACCATTTTTTCAATCCTCAATATAAACATTTTTCTTTAAAATATTGGCAAATATTTGCAATACAGTGATACATGTTGCTGATTTAAATACAGTAAAATGAGTGTAATTTTATGGTCAAACAACAAATGACCATTTAAAAAAAAAAAAAAGGGATTTTTGATATGGACCTAATTTAGTTTTTTGTGGTTAACTCTTTTTACTAGACATTATCTGTAATAAAATGGGGGAAATCATTTTAAAAACCTGTTAGAAACATTTCTTTTTACAGTGCAGGAACAACCAAAACTCTATTTGTCTTCTAGGGGGAGGGGTGGGGGGTTTACTCATTTATAGTGAGACTGTAGGTTTACTAAAAGGGCCGGATAACACATATTCTTTAGCCACAATGCTACAAAATAAATACGTATATGTAAATAAATGCTCAGTTAGCAGTTTTACACAGCTGCAGTGCACTTTTTCTGGCCCTTTTTGGCTTAGTTCAATGTTAATCATATAGTTTAATCTTTATTTTACCAGAGACCCTGGTTGAGTTGTGAGAGTTGCTGAACGCTGAAGTTTTGGGGGCTTACCTGGCCTGGCGGAGGAGATCGGTGCTGCCATGGCTGCCAGCAGCAGCAGCAGCAGGTAGAGCAGGTTGAAGATCCTCATGGCTGCACAGCTGTGAGCTACTGGGGAGCCCGAAGAACTTTCTTGAAGTCTGCAGAGACGCTGTAGCTCAGGTCCAGGCCGCACTGATGATGATGATGATGATGATGCTCAGTGAGCTTCAGGTCTCTTCACCTCCTGCTTCTTCTTCTTCTTGTCTGTTTTCAGTCCAAAAGGCTCAGAATCCTTCATGCACTCTTTTCTGAGGATGTCCACAGTGTGTCCAGTGAGAGTGTGATTGTCTCTGTTTCTGGGAGCAAAGTGACAAAGGTGCTTCTCCCCCCACCTCCTTTATACAGGCTTTCAGAGGGAGGGGGGGTGTAGCTCCCACCACGGCCCCCAACTCACCCCCCAGACACACACACACACACACACACACACACACACACACACACACGAACACACACACTCTTCAGCATTGCACATATTGACCCCACATGTAGAGGGTAATTCAAATGACAGGAAGCCCCCCCTCTCCCTCCCTGCACCCCAACTGCCCCTTGAACACACACACACACACACACACACTCTCTCTCATATATATATATGTGTGTGTGTGCACGTGCAGGGATTGATATATTTACAGAGAGCGGAAAAGGCCGGGAGAGTTGATTTATCGGCCACAACATTAGAGCCAAGATTTAAGAAGCTGTGACTGAGAGTAGCAGGTCCTTCGAGAACCAGAGCCCTCCTCCTCCTCCTCCTCCTCCTCCTCCTCCTGCACCTCACCCCATCCTCCTCCCCACCCACCCCCGCACCGATGAGGACACACACATCTGGGGCGTTTGGGTGGTGCTGTGGAGGGGGAGGCTGTTTGCATGTTTGCATTGAGCATTTTGGGGCAGCGGTCCTCACTGAATGAAATGTAGAGATGGACCGGACTAACGATAGCCAGAGAAGTCTGACTGTCTGTCTGGAACGTCGTCTACTGTCTCTGATTGTCAGCATGAGGTTTTTCTTTTTGTTCGAGCACTGCTGTCTAATGCTCTTGTTTCAAAATGTAGTTTTCATTCTGGTTAGTTTGACTTTATTATCATGCTTTTGTTCGTGCCAACCTCAGTACTTTTTGGTCTTTACTCTCTTTTGACAGAGTTTAACCCCAAAACTGAACCCCGAGCAGTTTCTGTCACATTTGGACTCACTGTAGACACAGTTTCCCTACAATATAAATCACTGCACTTTTATAGAAACCATGACTAGAAGTAGAGAAAACTCAAAAATATCGGTTGTGCAGAATGCCAAAAAAAGTTGAATTTCTCTGATTATTTGTTTTACAAAACTGCAAGAAACTGGAATCAGTATGTGAAACTTTTTTTTTCCAGAGTACCCACAGCTGTTACCAATATTGGAGAAAAAATGGGGACTCCATTTGCTACAGATCAGCTATTTGACTGGGTCTATTTGCATTTTTACAATTCTAATAGTCTGCACATTTTGTCTAGAAAGATGTTTCACCGTGCAGAATGTATCCTCCAACTGCTTGCTGACCACTTGCTCCTCTTTGTACCACATTTGAGCCACTTTTTACCTTTTATTTCATTGATCCAGTATGTTTCATTTTCCTCTCAGTCT